GCCGGAATCGGTCAGGAGAACATCATCATGTTTTAAGTTAAACAGTTGTTTAAAGAGTATATTTTTTTGTAACCTGATCTTTTGCTACAAAATAAACGATTAATGTTAGATACAAGAACAACGCCATCTATCGAGCGGGAGTGTAAAACCTTTTTAGTAATATCGATTAAGCATTATGAACAAATACATACAGAACAGTAGGTATAATGCCACGGTCAAAGACTCGCGTCTCACTATCACCAGACTAAATACTGTTAAATATGCTTTAGATAGCTATAGAAATTGTCACTTACAGATTGCTTTAGTTTTCTCTTGAGCACCTTCAAATTCGGTTTAGCCGATTCAAAAACGTTTAATAACGGTTGATATAAATTAAAAATTTAAAAACCCCCCACGCAGATTAATTGTCATTTAACGATTACACTGGCACGTGTGAAGCACTAAATCGAGTAATCATACGCCAAAATGCCTTACATCATTTTGAAAAATAGCTGATACTCTTACACTGCTGGACCGATATTAACCAAACATAGCTAAGAACCACCGCAAGAAAACTGGCTTTCAAATGAAAAAAACCGCATCGTAATCGGTCCATCCGTTTGAGAGATACGATGCCACAGACAGACAGACAGACAGACACACATACACACACACAGACAGACAGACATCGACGTCAAACACCCCTCTTTTTGCGTCGGGGGTTACAAACGATATACCAGTGGTCTCCCGTTGTCGCCCCGAAAATCTACCATAATTCATTAGAATTGAACATGATTGAGATTCTTGTGTCAAAGTTATTACATACGTAGTCCAGCTCAATCTTCGTAGTTCCGGAGGGTAGCACGTGCAGACAAACAAACTCTTCTTCGTTACATATTAATATAAATTTGATAAAGTTATAGTATATAGCCTATCTAAGATAAGCAACTTTTATCAGCCGAGTAATTATATTAAATAAACTTAGTGCAAGCAATTTATAAATGTTATCATTCTGCTCAGTCCATCTCCATATAAACTAAAACTATGCCAAAGTAAACTCCTCTAAGTTCCTTAAAAAAGCTTAAAAGTGGTACAAAGTTTGTCTTCAAGTATATTGTTTGCGTATTTTATATGAGTAGGAAAATTATTTATATTTGTTTGCATAAAAATATAGTTTTATTCAATTAGGTATTGTGAGTTGTTATCGATGACCATTTGCCATCTTTCAGGTAGTATCATAATTCCATCTTTAGACATCCAGACAAAATTTTTAAAAATTGTGTTTTCATTATAAGTACCGTATATAATTTCATATGGATTTAGTAAAAAGCTGTTATTTTGACATTACAAACAGACACTGCAATTTTCAAGCTACCATTGTTTATACTGAAAGTGTTGTGAACACCTGTAGTAGACGCACAGGCTTACTATATGTAAATGAAGACCGACTTTTTGTATATTGTATTATTACTTAATATAATGCGATGTAGGTAGTGGTAGCTCAGTGGTAACGCGCTCGCTTGGGAAACCGAATGAAGCGGGTTCAAATCCCGGGTCTGGCACCTCTGATATTATCATGTGCGAATCATTTCTAACATGATTACCACTTGCTTTACGGTGAAGAAAAAACATCGTAAGGAAACCTGCATGCTTGAGAGAACCTAGAAAGTTTTCGAAAGACATTTGCAGTCCGCCCGCACTTGGCCAGCGTGGAAGACTATGGCTTGATCCCCCTCGTATGGAAGAGAGGCCCACCCCCAGGAGTCGGGGGTTAAAAAGGGCTGAATACACATAACGCGATGCAATCTTAATGGCAACACGGATATTAGCTGCGAGGGCAAGACTCGCCCATCTGATATCTAATATTGCGTTCTGCGCATCCGAATGTATTTATTTATTTGTTTCTTTATTTTTGGGAAACAAAATGTGAGATAATTCTTAAAAATAATTAAAAACTAAAATATCCACACACCAGCAAAGTTTCCATCTATAAATATGTCACAGGTAGAGTAAACATAATTAGTTTAAACATTAAAACAATATAATAAAATTTTAACAAAAGTTACTGCAAAAAATCACTGCAAAGGACAACAAAAAAAGTTAGAATTACAAAAAAAATAAATAAAAAACAAATTATAAAATTTAAAAAAAAGCACAAAAAAGCATGTAAAATAACAAAACAATGTACTATGTTCAGAATTGTCATTAAGTTAAAATCGTACTGTTGGTGTTTCTATCCTTTAAAATAAAAATAAAATGAGATTTGAAGAAATAAAACACAAAAACAGGCTGCACTATAATATTTATTACACATCTTTGGTTTACAAAACTTCATAACATAAAGACGCACAACTCAACGCAACGCAAAAAATATCCCATAAGTTATGAATAAAAAGCCATGAGTAGACTATAGTCATACAAAAGGATAGCAGATATATATATTATTATAAAAAAATACGTAGTTTTATTCCATCGATCAAAAAATTACTAAGATACACAATCCCATGCAAAAGTTCTCTTAAAACTGTCACCGATTGTGTTTAGGTGATTGTTGTAGTTGAAATAAATATACAACAATGTAAATTGAACCTTAAATGCAAGGCTTAAAGATCACAATATTTTTTTTTAATTAAAAGCGCGTTCAAATGTTCAAACGAGCGCTCATTCGATGAGGACATTTTTTGTCGCTGATTGTGATTCTAGTGCTTTTTTGATCGATATATTATTCATAAAAACATAAAAATAAATTATTTCTGTTTACTGACACTTGTGCTTGTGACATGGAGCGATTTTTTTTTATATTATTTATAGTTCATAGTGAAGAAGTTTTTTTTTTTAATACAACCACAGACAACAGGACAAGTCATACAAAATGTAACATACAATTTAAAAATAGCGGGAATACTGGACGGACTTTTAAATGGACAAAATGAGAAAATAAAAGAGAAAAAAAAACAATGTTAGTTTTGGTAACTGTACGCAAAACTAATTTTTATTTATGGTAATATGTAGAATTAAAAAAAATTTACTTAATTAATATTTTTTCTGTATTTATGACTATAAAAAGTAGCATGTAGGTTGAACACCGAACACATGGCTATTTACAAAAGCTATTATGAAAGTTATAAAACATATCCCATAAGAGAAATAACTAAATACCTCACTCAAAGGCAGCCAAATTATTATCAAAAAACCAAAACCTTTTGAATCTGGCCAATAAATGAACAAAACTAAACTTTTATCAATATTTAATTTAAATCCTAACTTAAATGTAGTTTCATTCGTAAATCTAAAAAATAAATGTCAAAATACAAACCAGAGCACAACCAAAATAGAAAACTTCAGAGAAGGCTTCATTGTACTACCATTTTAGTTACAGAAGTTTTAAAAAAAAATTGTTTTTCTTTATAATTAAGAAGAAATTAGTTTTTAATAATTCTATGATGCAAATAAAATTTGATTCAAACAAAAAATACTTTGTTTTATATAACATTATAAATATAATTTAGAAAAAATTTGCTTGAAATGGAAGTGTCATATTTCTATAGCAATAAAATCATTATGAAATTAAGTTAAACGCAAACAGACAAACGAACAAAAATTTCAGATTTTCTTATTTTTTCCTATATTTTTTTATCCTAAGTATTCCCTAACAAAAAATCAGTTACAATAAGTAAATGCAATTCTTAAAACTAAAGTGATTATTTGTACAAAAATAATGTATTTCATATGAAAATGTATGAGAGACCATATTGTAAGTATTTTAAAAGGCATTAAAACTAATTCAAAATCGGCGATTTCAGTAAAATGGACGAATATTATACATTTTTTTTAAGTCGATTAGCAAATATTATGATTGAGATCAAAACACATAAGTTTTACAAAATAAGTTTTACAAAACTCATACACAGATCTGCAAAAAAGTAAATACAAACTAACTTAAGCTGTTCTCATGAAACTCACAATTACAAATATTTCATATCAAATATTTTTAACGCACACAAATCCATACATACAAACTATTTTTATATATATATATATATATATATATATATTTATATATATATATATATATATATATATATATATATATATATATATATATATATATATATATATAAATAAATTCTTTTTTTTTTCTATAAAATATGACAACTCCAAGCCTTTATAAGACTGTAGAGTGTAGTACAAAAACGTATATACATATACAGTAATAATAACAATTAATTGTCAGTGACAAAATGGGATCGATTCTTAAAATAATAAAATCGATTTTTTTACATTAAATATAAATTAGGAGCAATAAGACTCTAATTTCAAGCTACCAGATCGATTAATTTGGCATCTAATGGCACGTACAAGTGTTGCCAGATATATCTAGATAAGTGATTTGTTTTTTGGAAATATGTATGAAACTTTTTAGAAAAGAAATGTTCATTTCAGCATATAGTATCTGTTGTCAGATTATATAATAAGGAATACGCATGTTTTTTTTAATTTTTATACAATAGCTTACATCGTTATATAATTGAAAAAGAAATATATACAACTCTAAAAAACTAAAACTTAGCATATTTTTTTTAAATATCATATCGGTACGGATACTTTAAAAGCCCGCCATTTCGCGCGCTCGGCGTGACGTCATAGTATGATATACACTGAGACATGACGACTCATTTTGTAGCGACTAAATCGCTAATCGCTCAAAATATACTCTGACGTCATATTTGTTCTGACCAATGGCGTGCGTTTCAACTACTTTGAATTTTCTACCTGTTTTTGCACTTTTTAATAATTATTTTCTTAATCAAAAAGAAAAAAATATGATTATAGGGTAATTTTAGAAGCAATAAAGATTATAAAAAAAAATATTTCACCTTCATTTAAACCACACGCATATTCTCTATTTGCAATTACGCCTATTATTATAAAGTACAATCGGCACCAAATGTAATATCTCATATGTTTTTCGACCCTGGCAACACAGCGAAGCCTCACCGGCACGCCGCCCGCCGCGCCTAGTCGGGCAGCCAGTGCTGCGCGCGCCACAGCAGGCAGTAGTAGCCGGAGTACGGCTGGCTGGTGGCGTTTGGCTGCACGCGGCAATCGTAATATTGGCAAATTTTATTTTCGAATTATTGAAATAACAAAAATAGCTCATATTATAGTTTTGAATTACTGTCAAATATGGTAAGTTTTAGGTGTTTTGAAGAAAATGTATTCAGTGGGTGGAGACAAATTTAATAATTAATATATTGAGTACACTAATAATAAAAACTTGGTGTAATGGATCGACTATAAATGGGAAGATACACGAGCGCTTTATATAAAGTATGGTTTATACTGAACCTAATGCTATACTATCTTATACTATACTTATTATATAAACACTTTATATTTCAACTGTAATGTACAGAACTTGATAAAAAGAATCAAGCGAGCTCAAACTCGAAGGTTCTTAGTAGCCATTGAAGAGTTCCACTATCCACCTCCTGGCTCCACATCATCAGATCAGTGAGATGAGAAATCATTATTATATTATCATCAGGATTTTATTTTTTATAAGGTTACTAATAAACAGTGGAATAACATCGAAAAAAAAATAATTACACTGAAGATGATAAAACTTTAATTAAAAAAGAAAAATTTAATATAACATGGTGTCGCGTTCGTACCTGCGCGGGCGCGTAGCGCTGCAGCAGCGGGCGGTAGCCGGCGCCGAGCGTGGCCACGTGAGCGCCGCGGCAGCGCCCGTGCGCGCACAGCGGCACGATCGCGCGCACCTGCTCGCACACGCACAGACATACACATACGTTATACTGCTGAGGAGCAAGTAATATAGTGGTCCCTCGAGCCGGATGTGACTAAATAGCTTTACTATGCTCACTAAAATCCAAAGATCCTCCTTTTTATTTTATTTAATGTTAATAAAAATATTTATTCTGATGTTAATCAAATTATGGCACGAACAAGTTCGACACCAATGACAAACCTCCTCCTCGTAGGGGCGGAACACGGTGAGCGGGCGCAGCGAGGCGGCGTGCGCGACCACCACGCAGCCCCACGCCGTGCCCACGTACACCTCCTCGCCCAGCGCCGCCAGCGCCGTCACCTGACACAGCCGCACACACAAACATACATACATGTCATCATACTATCTACTCTAACAGGACAGATTTAGACAGAGAAAGGAATATCTATTCATAGATTAAAAATATCAATGTTTGTGTTTTATTCGGTGAGTAAAAATACTCCTGAGTCAACCTAGTTTCTCTGCCTCCATTTTTCTTTTTTATTATGTCTTCTTTCCACTCACAGAGGTGACACGTGTGCGGTGAGTGAAGAAGTTAAGTAAAATTTGAAGAAATAATAAAAAAAAAAATATGAAATTATAAAAAAAAGAAAGAAACTCGGCAACGGCACCAATTTTGTCAACACATTTTGTGCGTGTATGCTTGCGTGTGTGTGTGTGTGTGTGTGCGTGCGTGCGTGCGCGCGAGTGTGTGCATGTATGCGCGTACGTACCCGGCAGCGCTCGCGGCCGAGCGGGTCGTCGAGCGCGATGGACTGCAGGCTCTCGGAGCAGGGCGCCAGCTTGCTGCAGTCGAGGCGCGCCGCGGGCCGCCGCGAGCGCGCGCACCACGTGTACACGAACACGTCTGCGGCGCAGACACGTCTTCGGTCAATTATTTTTATCCAGCAGCAATTATTCTTATCAATCCATACAAGATCTAATTTTTTTAACTTAAAAGCTGACTTTATAAAAAACAAATTAGGCAGCAATGATATTCATCATCATGGCAAGTAAACTATAATACCATTTCAAGCTTCAACTCGTGTTTTGTGCCTGCAATCGAGACTTTAAAGCCTACATTTTGTGGGCATTCACTTTACTGACACATAATTCCACTACTACAACTATCAAAATCTAAAAGAACTTTACTCGATCACTATCAAAAGATGGCGCCACTTGTCACTTCTATATTAATGCATTTAAATTATCTGTGATTACAGTAACTTCTATTTTCAAAGGTATTTTATTTGAAATTATGTTCAACAGCAATTAAAACCAAAAAAAACAGTATTTTTTTTAAATATTAGATTCAGATTCACACTGTATATATGAAAGGTAAAGAGCAAAAGACTATAGTAACCCACCTCCTTTGCAGCTGCCGAGCACAGTGGGCCCGTGCTCGGACGCGGCCAGCAGCGCCATGCGCGGGCCGGGGGCGGGCGGGGGCGGCTCGCCGCCCTCGGGGGCGGGGGCGGGCGGCTGGGCGCGGGGGCGGGGGCGGGGCAGGGCAGAGTCTCGGCCGCGCTGACGCCCTCCTCCGTGACGGTGTACGTGTACAGGTGGTCGCCACCCGCCCACACCTCCACGCTGTGGTGGAGACGGTTTTGTTATAAGAAAATGTAGGCAATGGAAATATTTAGGACATATTTTTACGAAAGATGAAGATTCACACAAAAATGTTTAAGCTTATGAAGGAGATATTGTTGATTTAAAACAATATGATACAATAAGAAAATAATAAGTAACGCCTCACCCGTCGGCGGCGCTGGCGGCGGCGAGGCAGCTCAGCTCGGTGGCGGTGCCGAGCTCCGTCAGCACGAAGCTGGTCTCCGCCGCCGGCCGCGTCGTGCTCACCAGGAACAGTCTGCGCGCACACACACATACATACACACATATACATATAGACATTCTACTTTGTCTTTGGCGAAATGGAGTGGAGAATTAGTCTTAGATGAAAACCACTAAATTTTGCTTCCGACATTATAAAATGTCCGATATTTTGTGTTAAGTTAAAAAAATTGTTTATTTTTTATATAATTAGATTATTACAAATTATTTTTAAACAATAAAGTAATATTTGAGTTCAAAGAATAATATTCCATTTTCAGCGGTGGGATTTTATTGACTTTTATTCATTAAAATTATAACGAAAATAAGACAAAAGAAGGTATCATTACGTATACAAGTATCTAAATAAACATGACGTGAACAGTCGAGAGGGGACGGTGAAGAGGCAAGGAAGTGAATATTAAAAATGTCAGGTTGAGGGGAAGGAGACAGGGGAAAGACGAGAAAGGGGAGAAAGGGAGAGAAACTTTCTCCCTTCCCTCCCCGCTGCACTGTCTCCTTTCCCCAATACGTGGTGACGGTGAGGGGAGCGGGGAGCGGGGAGACGCACCTGCCGCAGGCGAGCGCGAGCGCGAGGCGCGGCAGCGGCGCCAGCGCGCACAGCGCCGCCACGGCCGCCGGCGCGCCGCCCACCACCTCCTGCAGCCGCACGCTCCACTGCAGCGCGCACGTCGACACGCTGCACCGACACCACCGCCATCATCATCATTCATCATCAACAATACCATCATCATCATCATCATCAAAAATAACATCATACACTCTCACATTGCAGTATATAATAGACGGCAGAGAGCGCGACAGATTTAGATTTCCACTTAAAATTCTGCTGTTTGTTGGTAACTATCGCATTACTGTTATAAATGCGAGTGTTCGTGTAAGTTTAGTTACTCTGTCGCGCTAAAACGATTTGACAAAGTGGGATGAAATTAAACAAGTACCTACGCTGATGTATCTCGAAATTGTTCACATTGTATAACATATATATTTTTAGTATTATGTTACATTTAATTTATTAGCAATAAACAAATTGTGTAAGAGGAAGAGGCTAGCGTCTGAGATACAGGCTCGGCCTAGTTCAGACGTTAGTACCTATACCTAAACAAAGATTGTGCTAATTATATAGTTTAAAAATAAATGTCTTGTAAAAAAAAAGAAAAAAAATATTTCACAAAAAAATATCGTCTATATGAAATAACATATAAGCTGTTAATAAGAAAAATGAAAGGCTCCCAGGGACGTATCCGAGGGAAGTGAGAAATAGTTGCCAATGTACAAATACATAAAAATAAAGATTATATTAACTAAAAATAGCAGTTTATTGAACCCGTTTATTGTAACGTTAGAAAATAACGATTATTTGGAATGGTTGTTTGGAAAAATAGAATTCAAGTGTTCACTTCATTGATTTTTGTTAACTATCACTACACAAAAAATAACGCTAATCCGTCACTCTGTTTCGACGTGAAAGAAGGACAAACAAACAAACACACTTTCACATTTATATTATTAGTATGGATGTATCTATGGGTCGAGGTCCCCGTAGAGGGTGTACTCACTCGTATACAAACACCCTGCCCACGGAGTCGCCGAGCCACATGTTGACGCCGACGCGGCACATCGCCGTCACGATCACCGGCTCTGCTTTGTCTGTGGACGGTCGATGGGTTATATTTTATTATCTGTATTCATTATTAATAAGGAATCATGACCTCGTGGTATATTTGGCGAGTGCCTTTTACTTTCCAAATCCGGTGGGCAACTTCGGTGAGCAACAATTCGAAAGTCGCGGTGAGAGATCAGTCCGGACCACTTCACGTGTTCTACCTTGGCACGTGGATGAAACACCGCCAACTTCCCGACTCCGGGCTGTTACCGAGTATATTTTGACAGAAAAACTCAATATCTATACTTGGCCCGACCCAGGACTCGAACTTAGGACTTCAGAATTTTAATTTGTAGTCATAGACTGAAAAGATAGTTGTATATTGTGAACAGTCTCACCGGGCGGCACGCGCAGCGTGTGGTGGTGCGTGAAGGCGGTGGGCGTGGCCAGCAGCGCGTGCGCGCGCTCCGGCTCCGCGCCGCCGTACCACACCTCCCAGCCCTCCCCCCCGCATGCGCCGCACCCCCCGGCCTCCCCCGGCGCCGCCTCCCCCTCGCCCCCCGACTCCTCCGTCGAGCTCCACGCGCCCAGCGCGCCTGATGTGCTGTCAACTGAAACGTGAAAATTAGTGTGAAGTTTGAGGTATGTATACTATGCGGTATGTGTACTCAGCCCTTTTATAACGTCCCACTGCTGGGGGTGGGTCTCCTTTAATATCAGGTGAGGATCAGGCATAGCCCACCACGCTGGCCAAGTGCAGGTTGGCGGACTCATTGAAGTATTATTTATTATGATTATCATTGAGGGGAATACAAAAGTGTGGGAGGAGTGGTGTGCCTCACGTGTGCGGCGCACGGGCACGGCGGCGGCGGCGGCGGGCGCGGGCGCGGCGGGCGCGGGCGCGCGCGCGGCGGCGGCGTCGCGCAGCGCGAGGCTCTCGGGCGCGGCGCACAGCGCGGTGAGCGCGGCGGCCGAGGGGCGCAGCTCCGGCGCGCCCGCCCAGCAGCGCCGCATCGTCTCCAGCAGGTTGCACGGGTACTCCAGGTCCTGGAGGGGTCCAACCGTGTCTCATGTTAACAACGTTCATTTTTTTTTTTTTTTAATCTCGAGACAACCACATCGTGCCAATTATTTTAGAGTTTCGCTTGTATGAAGTGGGCTGTTTTTGTAAATTAAATTTGTTTTAGTAAAATCTACACAAAAAACAGCTTAATAAATTTAGACGGCTTTTTTTATAAACTTATATGGTCTAGATCTAAATGGTCCTTAGCTATAGAAGAATAAGTTACACTGTTATCAATATCCAGACTTTTTTTTTTTTTTTTATTTTGAGACCAAATTTTTTTTTTATTTTTTTTTTTTATTTTTTTTATTTTTTTTTTATTTAAATTATTTACAAAAAATAAAATTAAAATTTCAAGATCTGTAGGAGGACAAACACAACATTACTAATCATTCACAAACGAGCTCACCCTGGCGGAGAGCGGCGGGCGCGCGCCCTCCAGCACGGCCTCCTTCACGGCCTCGTGCCCCTCGAAGGGCTGCCGCAGCGTGAAGATCTCGTACAGCAGCATGCCGTACGAGAAGCAGTCCACCTGGAATAGAATATGTTAGATTTCATTTGACAAATGACTACACAGTTTATAACTAAAAATAGTTTTTTTTTTTTAATTAATTACTTTTTAACTTTTTTTTTTTTTTCAATTTATTGGCCAATACATAACAAATACATTATAATTTGCAATTTAAGTACCACGAAAACCTCGCGGGTTTATCTGGGTACAGAGAGTCATTCAGTTTATTCGGTTTGTTTTTGTAAAAAAATTATTTTTTTAAAAAGTGATTTGATTTTCGTGGTACTTTTATACATTTCTTGCAGTTCTCTGGGCAGTTCGTTAACATAATATTCAGGTATTAAGTAGTTATTAGTTCTCTTTCCATACTTATTGTTAGTTTTTGGTAAGTGGTATTTATGGTTTAAATCAAGTTGACGTAAGCCTATAGGTCTCCCCCCCAACGTGCGTTCACCTTGTCGTGGTGGGGGGCTCAGTAGTAGTAGCGAAGCTAAGAAACGCACAGGGAGGTTGCCCACTTCGGTGGGCGGTGGGAGGTGGCCCTCTTCGGGGGGCGGTGTACCTTGCGGGTTGCTCCTGGTACTTCTCTGATAGCAGAGTGGACCTTGGAGCAACCCCATGGTTGTGGTGGTCTGCTTTGGCAGACCTGCCGTCGGGGCGTCGTAGTTGAATGCGTAAGCGATCCTGCGACGCCCCATTAAGACGGGGGAAGGTTTTGTTGGGTTTTAGTGGGTAGTACTGGCTGTATTACGCCGGTGAGTCCCACACGTCGTGCGTAAATGCATTTCCCAACGTTAAAAAAAAAAAAAAGCCTATAGGTCTAAGTTTTTCATTTAACAAGGTAGTATTATTAATTTGGGTTAGAATAGAAAATTTAACTTTATCATATATGTTCATAACATTACAATGCCGAAATAGCTGAATATAGTTGTTCTTATAATTATTAAGTATGCGTTTAGGTACAATTGTTTTTAATAATCTTAACTGTAAATTGTAAATATTTTCCAAGTTTGATTTGCAGGATCTGCCATAACTACTAACACCATAATCGATAACCGAGTCACCCAAGGCCACGTACAGGAGCCTTAGTGTCTGGTATGGTAATTTGGCTTTGAGTATACTTAGTTTACTTAATAATGATCTTAATTTTGAGCAAACGTGATCTGTATGCGGGCCCCAGGTAAGTCTGTCATCGACCATTAAGCCTATGTACATATGTGTTTTCACTTGTTCAACAGCTACACACGAACAATTCAGACTGCATGAAGAGTGCAAACAAGAGTGGTTGTGAGCCACGATGGTAGGTCTGATGTCTGTCTGATTGTGCGACGAGTGAATATGTATAAACTTCGTTTTGTGTGCGTTTATTATCAGACCTACATCGTGTGCCCATTTACATAATTGATTAAAATAGTTTTGTAGTTTTTCCTGGGCATGTTTGACCGTTCTTTGAGCTACCACTAAACATGTGTCGTCCGCGAACTGGTATACAGTGCCCTCATTTATAATATTAACCATGTCGTTCACATATAACAAGTACTCAGTAGGCCCGATAATTGAGCCCTGTGCTGTGCCCTGTTTGGTTGATATTAAGTTACTACATTGTTTGGATAGGCTTACTGTGGTTTTGGACCCTGTATACCACCCCGCGAAAGTTTATCGAATAAAATATTGTAATTATAGCTACAGTAGTACAAAAACTTTGGCAACTCGTTTGCTTGAATAACAAAATGAAGCGGGTTCAAACAAGGGCTTTGCTTCTTCTAAAACCATGGCGAGGAAACTCACAAGACACTGAGAGTATCTAATTATAGACATCCGAAAAATCCGGAATCGATTTTTCGAGATTAAGCATGTAATGAAGGCGGGCTCGTGTCCAGGAGTGAAACCAAAACGGTTGTATTATAGGTAATAGATACATCTATTACAAAAAGTGTGTGTGTGTGCAATTCACACACAGTAGATGTGAAACTTTAGAAGAGTAACCTATGAGAGAATGAGATGGATATAGAGTATCAGGAGTAGGATAATTGTAAGGTTTATAATTTAATAATATTCTTACCAAGTTTAAAAGTTATTTTATACTTTATTTGACACAAATATTCATTACATATTATTCAGTAATTAATTTTTTTAATTTTCACTTCCTGTGTAATGTATCCTATCTCGTTCTCTCCCCGGCTTAATCCTATATATTTATGTGTTTGTCTTTTTCTAGTGTCGCATTTTCGATTTCATCGAGTTTCAAATCACAACGATTCTAAAGAAATTTCACTCAAACAATTCTGAAGTAATTATCCTTGGGAATAAAACATTTTCTTTAAATTTATACGAGATCGTCCTGAAGATATAATCTATCCATTATTATAATCAAAGATGTCGCGGAAACACAAAAGAAAAAACATACACAATTCGTTTATTCATTGTAAAATCCATCATACAAAAAAAAACTATATTACACGATACAGAACACAAGTCACGCCATCTACCGAGTGTGAATGTAAAATTTTTGCAACAATATTGGACCAAGTATGACAATAAGAGTAAAACCCGAGACAAACCTTCTCCGTGTACTCCTCCTCGCCGTTGTAGCGCATGATCTCGGGCGCCATGAACCCCTCCGTGCCGCCGAAGCCCTTCGTGCCGGAGGGCGGCGCCAGGCGGGAGATGCCTGCGACAGTCGGGTACACTCACTTTACTGACTTATCTCTACGACAGTGTGATGTACGATAGAAGGATTTTAATATTATATAAAGAGAAAACATTTGTATTTATGTCTGTTTGTAAGGAATAAACTCAAAAACTACTGGACGGATTTAGATGAAATTTGGTAAGAAAGTAGTTTGAAATCCTGAGAAAGACATAGGAGATAAATTTATTTCAGATTCAGATACATTTTTATTTCGGAAATCATCCCTTTAGGGAGTGAAAATAGGGATGGATCGCTGACCGTAGTCGCCGAGCTTGACGTGCACGTCGACGGGGTCGGGCGCGAGCTCGGCGCGCTCGGCGTCGTGCGGCGCCGGCAGCGCCCACACCAGCACGTTCTCCGCCTTGAGGTCGCGGTACAGCACGCGGCGCGCGTGCAGGTACTCCAGCGCGCGCGCCGCCTGCAGCGCCAGCGCGCGCGCCGCCCGCGCGCCCACGCGCGCGCCGCAGCCCGCGTAGCGCCGCAGCGCGCCCGCCAGCGCGCCCAGCGGCGCCGCCGCCAGCAGCAGCGCCAGCGGCGCCGCGCACGCCGCGCGCAGCGGCAGCACGTGCGCGTGCCGCAGGCGCAGCAGGATGCCCAGCTCTTGGCGCAGGCCGCAGTACGCGCGGCACGCGCCGCCCTGCGCGTCGCGCTCCCACCGCGACACCGCCGCCTGCCCCACGCACATATATACATACATACTCGACACACACCTGGTACTCGACCGCCTGACTGGCAACTCACCCTCGGTTAGCTGGAGTTCGTATTTAATCAAAAACAAATCTATCTCACGGCAACTGTAGATTTTTCCGGGATAAAAGATAACCTATGTACTATTCCAGACTATAATCTATCTCTGTGCCAAATTTCATCTAAATCTTTTCAGCCATATTGACGCGATTGAGTAACAAACATCCAACCACACGCATTATAATATTCATATGAAATAACAATGAGATTACAATCAACGCGCGCGTGTTACAAAAACAACACATAAAATAATGCAGGAATATTGTGGAGGTTTTAATGCCATAGTAAAAAAAAGTTATTCTGAGCCTTCTAATACCTACGTTACATACATTTTTTCGACGACGGTACTTTAAAGTTTGGCTACAATGTGGATATTTTGCTCAAGTCTTCAAAACTGCGTTTATTATTGTGATAAAACTGTTTAAAAGATAAAACAATTCCTGTTATATACTAAAAAAAATTTAGGTATGTATGTATTTCTTAATGCTTTTTAAAATACATAATCATAAAAAATAAAAATTTTGGGGTGGACCACCCTTATCACTTAGGGGATGCGAAAAATAGTTTACGTCCTATAGTCAGACCTACTGAATATACACACAGAATTTTATAAGAATCGGTCAAGCCGTTTCAGAAGGGTTTTGTTACAAACACTGTGACACGAGAATTTTATATATTAGAAGATTTAACAGTTATAACTAAATAGGATAAAATCTCCAAATTGTTTGTGAAATGTACCTACTATCTTCTATAAAATACCAAAAACTAAAACATCAATAAGTGTCCAACCAACCTTGTACGCCTGCAGCGCGGCGAGGTCGGCGTGGTCGGGCGGCGCCACGGGCTGCAGCGCCTTCACGGCCACGGCCAGGGGCGGAGCGCCGGGGCGCCGCCACGTGCCCGTCAGCACCGTGCCGAAGGCGCCGCGCCCCGCCACCGCCGTGCACGTGATGTGCTCCCAGCGCGCGCGCTTCTCCTCCTCCAGGTCCAGCAGCAGCTGTACCGACACCGACCAACCAACTCTACACATCGTCCTCCAGCTCATAGCTTATATGAGTATTAAGTTTAATATTAATCCGCCCAGCGTGAAAGAGGGACAAACATACACACACGAATGTACTCGTACAAACTTTCTTATTGAATATAATAAATTAAAATTCAAAATAAAATTCAGTAATACGTTTTCAAATGAAGTTACAAAGTAAAAATGGTAATAACTGTAATATTCTACCAAATTCATATTTTTCCAAATTTGTGGCACATAATGATCCTAGCATATGTATATGAATAGGAACACCAAAAACTTAAACTTAAATAACAACATTATAGCGCCTTAAAGTGTCACGATTTGGAGATAATTTTTTTAGTACTAGAACATATTTACAAGCTTTTTCTCCCATACGCTTAATGGTATACTGGTGATGGTGGTAAGAGCTCTGTAGTGGTGAGTTTAAGGTGTTAGGGGGTGGGTTGTGCACAGCAAGTACCGCGTCGGGCGCGACGTCGGCCAGCTGCACGTCGGGGTGCAGCGGGCAGCGCAGCGCCGCGCCCGAGCACGCCGCCAGCACGCACTCCTCCAGCGTCCAGCACGTGGCGGGCGGCGCCCCCGCGCCCGCGCCCGCGCCCGCCGCGCACGCGCCCTCCGCCGACCCCACGCGCGACGACGCTGCAGGCACACAACACACAGATATACTTATATCTAAAAATTACTGTGTACATTTTTATTATAGGAAATTTACAAAACCAAAACCTATAATTAATTTTGCCACCTAAAATAAATGTATGTAAATTCAAATCCAAACCCACACACACCACACACACAACCCACACACCCACACCGTTTAGTGTGAAATAACAAACATGTACACACACACGTACACGCACACACACGCACACACAATAATAACCTATTACAAAACATCCACCATCGATTAATCAATCGAGTACATCCTTTCACAGTGACATATCACCCACCACCCCCCACCCCGGCGGTGGTGGGCGCACTCACAGGTGGAGTCGGCGCCGACGCCGCTGTCGCCGTCGCTGGCGCGCGACTCCTGCGACAGGCGCGGCCGCCGCGCCTCCGCGCCGCCCAGCTCCAGCCGACGCAGCGCCTGGAACATGTCCGCCTGCGGGGGCGTTTGCTTTATTATTATTATTGTTTTTTAAAGCTTTAAAAGACAAAGGAATGTTTGTTGTAAATTGTATTGTCACAAACATACCTATCCCACGGGAACCGTTCTTTTTTCAGGGATAAAAAGTAACCTGTCGTTTGACCGGCGATATAAGGTATCAGCGTGCCAAATTTTACAAAATTAGGTGCATAAGTTGTTTTGTACTAAGCTGTATAAATTACTATAGGTTTTTAACTATCCCACGGGAACGCTTTAATTGTGCGGGATGAAAAGTATTCAAAATGTTGACCGGCGATATAAGGTGTTTAAATCGATTCCAACAGTTTCGGAGATTATTAGCCCGTACAAACAGACCGAGAAACAAAAAAAATTGAAAAAAATCTGGATTTGTTCTATTTCTCTTCTTACTCCCTAACTCGGTATTTGTCGTGTCGTGTGTGTGTGTGTCGTGTGTGTGTGTGTGTAGTGTGTATGTGTCATGTGTGTCATGTGTGCCATGTGTATCACGTGTGTGTGTCATGTGTGTGTGTTGTGTGTATGTGTCATGTGTGTCATGTGTGTCATGTGTGCCATGTGTGTCATGTGTGTTATGTTTGTCATGTGTGTGTGTCTTGTGTGTAAGTCATGTGTGTCATGTGTGTGTGTGTGTGTCATGTGTGTTATGTGTGTCATGTGTGTCATGTGTGTCATGTGTGTGTGTGTGTCATGTGTGTTATGTGTGTCATGTGTGTCATGTGTGTGTGTCATGTGTGTTATGTTTGTCATGTGTGTGTGTCATGTATGTGTGTTTGCCGTGTGTGTGTGTCGTGTGTGTGTGTGTCATGTGTCTCATGTGTGTCATGTGTGTGTGTCACGTGTGTGTGTGTGTCACGTGTGTTTGTGTGTCGTGTGTGTGTGTGTGTCGTGTGTGTGTATGTGTGTGTATGTGTCATGTGTGCAATGTGTGTCATGTGTGTTTGTCATGTGTGTGTGTCATGTGTGTGTGTGTCATGTGTGTGTGTGTCGTGTGTGTGTGTGTCGTGTGTGTGTGTGTGTCGTGTGTGTGTCGTGTGTGTGTCATGTGTGTGTGTCAGGTGTGTGTGTCATGTGTGTGTGTCATGTGTGTGTGTCGTGTGTGTGTGTGTGTGTCGTGTGTGTGTGTCGTGTGTGTGTCGTGTGTGTGTGTCGTGTGTGTGTGTCGTGTGTGTGTGTGTGTGTGTCGTGTGTGTGTGTGTGTGTGTGTGTGTGTGTATGTGAGCGTGAGCGTGTGCATGTGTGTGTCGTGTGTGTGTGTGTGTGTGTGTGTGTGTGTGTGTGTGTATGTGAGCGTGAGCGTGTGCATGTGTGTGTCGTGTGTGTGTGTGTCGTGTGTGTGTGTGTGTGTCGTGTGTGTGTGTGTGTGTGTGTGTATGTGTGCGTGAGCGTGTGCATGTGTGTGTGTGTGTCTGTGTGTGTGTGTGTGAGTGTATGTATGTGCGTGTGTGAGTGTATGTATGTGCGTGTATGTGTGTTTCATATTCAGGAGATTGATTCCAAAAGCATTCTACATATTTATCATTTCAAAATGAGTGTTCGTCTGAAAGCCTTTGGTTCTATTGAGACCTAGTGCTGGCAGTGACGTTCAAGGAATAGGAGGTGTTCAGGCACCGATCAAAAAAGTACTACGAGTAAATACACAATCAGCGACAAAAAATGTCCTCACCGAATGAGCGCTCGTTTGAACATTTGAACCGCGCTTTTAATTTTTTTTGTGAAAATAACTTTAAACATTGCATTTAAGGTTCAATTTACATTGTTGTATATTTATGTCAACTAGAACAATTACCTAATAGTAGGGGAGCCCAAGAGGGGATTTTCTGTAGTTACTCGAGCGCGGCAGATTTACATACAAAAGGTTACCTTGCACTCTATTGAGTACTTTCACCATAATATAAGTCTTCTATATAAAGGGGCGCGTCTAGGGAAGCCGATTAAAATATTTAAAAAATGTTTTGATAAGGTAGAAATACTTGAAACCGTCAGATTAAGGTGTGATAGGCTAGTCACATCCTGAAAAGTGTCCAATTCAATAATCTGCCGATTTGCACAAGCCGAAGAGGCAAATCGGCAGATTATTAAATTGGACACTTTTCATGTTAATCTGCCGCGCTCGAGTAACTACAGAAAATCCCCTCTTGGGCTCCCCTACTATAAACACAATCGGTGACAGTTACAAGAGAACTTTTGCATGGGATTGTGTATCTAGTAGTTTTTGATCAGTGTTCAGACGAGTGAGTGGTGTACAGACCTGCGGCGCGTGGCGGTCGTGGTCGCGCAGGCAGGCGGGGCAGGGCGCCACGCGCGTGATGAGGCAGCGCCCCTCCGACGTGTGCACGAACCGGGTACCTGCGGGGGTGGGGTGGGGGCTGTTACTCGTGAGCTACGTGTAGGAATGGGCGTCCGCCCCCCCACTCTCTCCAAGATGTGTTCATCTAAGCGTGGGTGGGCTCATTGCGGCTCCTTAGCTTCTGGCAATCCAGCCGGGCGCGAAGCTATGACACATTGGAAAGTGGCCCACTTCGGTGGGAGGTATACCATGTAGGTTACTCCTGGTACTTCTTTGACAGTAGAGTAGACCGTGGGAGAAACCCCTTGGTTGTGTGGTCTGCAGCTTCGGCAGACCTGCCTTCGAGGCATCGTGGTTGAGTGCGTAAGCGAACCTGCGATGCCCCATTAAGACGGGGGAGGTTCTGTCGGGTTTAAATACATAATACTTGGCTATCTGTATGTATGCAGGTGGTACGCGTTAATAGAGTTCTTAACATTTCGTGTTGTCTTGCGGTGGTTCCCAAGAACCTATCCATCTGGAATTTTCCTTACCACAGACAAAAATCTAAGAAATCCTATTTAAAGGTCCCTAAAATTGTATACATAGTACAATATACTATCTGTCATCAGGAATACTTTTGTCAGTTCAGTAAATAGGTTTAAAAATACTACAAAAGTAAACAAGGGAACTCACCAAGAGACGGGTACCAATCCTCAAGCAACAGATCCACGTGGTCGGAGATGAGCGCTAGGATCTTCGTCAGTACCTCCGGATTTGGTTCCAGGCTTAAGCTCTGTATACAAATATGGACTTATATTGAAAAAAAAAAACTTTTTTTTTTAAATAAAATCATTACTAAGAAAATTAGTTTTTTGCCATTTCCGGATATCTGGTGAGTATCGTGTAAGACATAGCCGACCTGGCAGCCGGCCACGTCGCGGCCGTCGTCGCGGCGCAGCACGCACACCTGCGCCGGCAGCAGCACCTCCACGCACGCCGACGACTGCACGTCCAGCGAGCACCACGCGCCCTCCTGCCGCACGCGGAACCTGACACGTGGACGGGTGGCATCATCAAAAATCTAAATCTATACATATAATAAAATTCCAACTGACTCGAATTTGTAATTTAAATAGTCATTATTATATCAGAATCTATTTTTTTAAGATTTTTGGGTAGGGGCGAGAAAAAAAAATATAAAGTTGGAAATAATGTGTGAATTTTTATTTAGGCGGCAATCTTTATTCGTTTCCCTCATAGTAGAACGTATGGCGTAAATACAAATAAAAACTTAAAACAATAAATAAAAATTGGTTTCATATACTAGAGACAAAAAAAATTGTTTACTATTTATTAGACACTAGACAAAAGATATTTTTTTATATTCGAAAACTAATGTACGAAAGGTAAAATCAGCCAAAAAAAAACAAAAACGGCAGATGTAATATCCAAAAGCGGCAAACCAACCTCATAGAGTGGTAGAGCTCGTCGGAGTCGTCCTCGTCGCCGACGGCGCCCAGCAGCGGGTCGTAGCGCGGCGGCAGCTCGCGCAGCGCCAGCAGCGTGAGCTCGCCGCACGCCAGCTTGAGGCCCGTCTTCCACAGCTTCCACTCCCAGTCGAGGTCGAGCGCGCGCGCGGCGCCCTCGCCCAGCGCGCCCGGCACGTCGGGCGCGGCGTACAGCGCGGGCGCGTGCGCCGCCAGCGCGGGGTCGGCCAGCACGCGCGCGCACAGCCGCGCCCAGAACCCGCGCGGCACGTACGACAGCAGCAGCAGGCGGCGCAGCGCGCGCGCGCCCGCCCGCGCCGACACGCGCGCGCCCGCCCACGCCTCCGCTGCGGGCACACGGCGCTGTTCCTATTCACTCCACATCATATTGATACTCGCGCAGATTTAAGAAAAAAATCTAACTTTTAATAATATTAGTTGAAAAATAAAAACCACAACCTTAAATACAATACTTAAAGTTATTTTCACAAAAAAAAATTAAAAGCGCGCTCAAATGTTCAAACGAGCGCTCATTCGGTGAGGACATTTTTTGTCGCTGATTGTTTATCTAGTACTTTTTTGATCGACGAATTTACGGCAATATTGGTATGTGCTCACGTGTGTGGTCGAGCGGGTCGGTGGCGGGCAGCGCGGCGCTGAGCGCGGGCGCGGCGCGGCGCGGGGTGCCGCCCCACGCGCGCGACTTCAGCGCCAGCTGTGGGGGGCGAGGGGAACTTATTATACCATGCCATTTTTTTTGGACACTATTTTGGTTATGGCGGCCAATTTAACTGATAATAACCAACTGCGCAATACATCTTTGAACACTTTCAAAATCAATTACAAACACACTTCAGTACGACCGATGAGGGTTTGTAGGAGTTCAATAACAACAAATATTACTACTGAAAAATTCTTGGTAAAAACTAAAATAACTTTATTTGATACCCGATTTTTGCTTTCTGAATGATTAGTATAATTTTTTTATTAACTCAATACATGCTTCAAAATTGTTATTTTCTTATACATAACCAGTGGAGTAACAGTGGAATGAAGATGAGGTGTAGAGAAGTTGAAATGAAGTTTGAGTAGAGAGAGGTGGAGTGTAAATGGAGTGTAGGTGGCATGGTAGAGTGTGGGTGTCGTGTCGGCGACCTGCGGCAGGCGCGGCTCGGCGTCGGGCAGCAGCGGCGGCACGAGCAGCGCGCGCGCGTCCCAGCACAGCGCCAGCTCGAACTTGTTGAGCAGCGACACGGCCAGCGCGCGCGCCTCCTCGCCGCCGCCCAGCACCGGCGACGCCTTGAACACGTGCGCCAGGTCCTCCACCTTCATGATGCCTGCCCGGTGCCCACCTCACGTTATATACTCGGATGTTTTGTTCTTTCCGTTGGAGACATATTTAATAATCACAATACGAGTATCTTAAGTATCCTTATAATCAAAGCTAACTTAGCTTACTACTACTTTACTTTACTAACTAACTACCTTAGCTAGTGAAATTCTACAGGCAATAACAACCTTTAGTTGTTAATATTGTAATTTTGTATATTTTTCTTTGCATTAAATCACTTTAATCTTGTAACTATCCTAGTATCCTATATTAGTATTATATAGTTATAAAAAAGTTTCACCCACTTAATCATAGAGTTCGCATATGGGAAGAAGCGGGTCATTCCCAACACAAGTATCCTTCGGATTACTTACTGGGAAGACTCGAACATAAAATTGTAAAGATGATTAAGATATAAAAACTTCTTTTTTTAGTGAGTGGTCGACCATATACTCGTATAGAAGATACATGAGCGCTTTACTAAGGTAGGGCTTACACTGGACCTAATGCTATCCTATCCTACATTATACTATGCTTTTAATATATGTATATATCTTGACGACACCTTTGGCTCAGTTTGTAGTGACCCTACTTGCTGTGTCAGTGATTGCGGGTTCGAGTCCCGTTGGGGACATTCACTTGTATGATAAGCACGAATGTTTGTATTCCAGCCATGGATATTTATAATATGTATGTATTTAAAGTTATATATGTGTAGTGTATCAACTCAACTATCTGTTATCCATAACACAGACCTCGTAGTTTACCATGAAACTAGATGGCGCTGTGTGTTAATGTCACAATATATAATTTTTTTACAAGACTGACCGTTGGTGGCGAAGGGGTTGATCTCCCTGACGGTGACGACGTGCGCCAACACGTCGCACAGCCACTGCGGCCGCACGAAGTACAGCTCCTTCAGCGTCGCGTCGTCGTAGTGCAGCAGCACGCCTGCGCACACACACATACACTACAAAGTATCCCGCGGGAACCTTCTGGATACCCCGGGATAAACAGTACTCTGCTACGTGATTGGGTAGTTCACTTCTCTTATTGATGGCTCCAAAACGTGCCAGTTGGTACCATTTACTAATTGATTAACTTTTTAATAGATGTCGAAACACGATTCCCCCACAGCTGGTACGAGATCCGGCTGCTAGATTGCTACGTTCATTGAGTATTTAATCGAAATCAATTTTTTATATACAATAATAAAAGGGACAAGTTTTGGCTGGGTTGCCTATTAAAATGTGCCCGCTAGTATTTTTAATTAATACAAGTTGTATTATAATAGCAATTTGTGATGTATTATTTGCCAACTTAATTTCAAAGCAGATAAAGACCTTACTTTACTAAAATAATTTTTTTCTTGAGATGTCTTTCTTATCTTTGAATAATTGATTAATGTTGCCAATTACATCAGCTATCTGCCAGTGAAAGTCCTGTTAAATGCAGCCAGCCATTTCTTAGATTAGCCGGAATAAACAGACAGATAAAAAATTTAAAAATTGTGTTTTTCTTATAAGTACCGTATATACTTTCATATGCATTCAGTAAAAAGCTGTTATTTTGACATTACACACAGACACTTCAATTTTATTTATCTGTATACATATTTATTCATTTGATTTAAACGCAAATTCATAGCTTAAAATATTTTTTCGATAAGCACGCACCATTTTCGTGTAAGAACATGGTGGCCTGGTGCAGCTCCGCGGCGTCGCGGAACGTGCGCAGGTTCTTTTGCTGCATGTACTGCGTCACCTGCGCGTGGGGAGATACACTTCCACGGTTATTTTACGTTATGAGAAATACGAGCAGACGAAAAATCAGAAACAAAAATAGCTTAAAGCACACGGTGGTAATGTAGCTTACTATTAGTGAAAGTATTATCAGAATCGGATCAGTAGTTTTGGAGATTACTTCTTATGTACAAATTCATAAACTTTAAATTTTTATAATATCAGTATAGATAATAGCAACTTAACGGAATAAAAAATCGGTCAAGTGAGAGTCGGATTCGTACACAAAGGGTCCCGTACCATAATAGATATTTTTTTAATTTGCATGGCTGCCTTTTTGAAATTCGCCTGTAGAAATACATACTCTGCGAAAATTTCAAATCTCTACCAGTTCATGAGATACAGCCCTCTGACAAACGGACGGACAGCGGATGGTTCTGTTGCCATTCTTTGGATACGGAATCCTAAAAATAGTCCATAGTACTCAGCCATAATGTTAATGAAAGAATGTTTAGAAACATCTCAGTAGTTGTAGAGGCATCTTAATTTTCAAAATTTCAACATTTTAATATTAGTGTAGATAAATAGTTGAATAGTAAAATGGCGGAAAGTAACATTTTTTATTCTTAAAAATTTCATTAGCAATCAGTTTCAGATTTTAAACTATTTTTTATTTAAATCAAATAGAACCTCCAACAACAACTTGTTATATATTTTAATTTAGCTAAATTCCCCGTCTCGTCGAAGACAGCGAGCGCGCACTGACCAGGCGCCGGTACTGGTCGTGGCGCAGCACGGGCGCGGCGAGGTCGGCGGCCAGCGCCTGCACGCACTCCTCCAGCGCCAGGTACGTCGCCGGCACGCGCTGCTCCAGCAGCGGCTCCTTGCTGCCTGCGCACACACACACGCACACACCCAGTACAAGTAGGCACAGCAAGTGTCGAAGTATCGTTCCATCCGACTTTGAGAGTGACAGGGATAGAGACACTTGCACTTGTGTCTGCGCTATAATATCTCCTGCTCGGTCTCAGTAAGATTGGCCGCCACAGTCAGGAAGAGAAGTCGAACAAATTAGACATAACATAGATACCTTTCGTATTTATAATATTAAATAATTCCTCAGAAGAGACGATTTCTTCTGAAAATACTTATTATTTCACAAATACCAACCACTTGTTTCGTAACAAATATTTAAATTAATTTGAAATCTATAAAATCCATACGTAACTTTAATTTTTACCAGTAAAAACAGTATAAAAATCTGTATAGTACTTTCTGAGGTTAGGCCGAACAACCCGAACTTAGCGCGGTATTTGAAGCTTTTTGAATGTCTTCTATCGATATAATATGTCGTCTATATGCTTATTTTTTCAAAATAATAAATAATAATATGTAAATTCTTTCGATTACTAAACATGAAGTACAAAACCAAGAAGTTCTAATACCTGGTGGTTTAACGCTGAAAGCCACAGAGTAGATGATGTCAGCCAGCAGTTTTATGTTGTGGCGGGTGCTGCACGACACCTGCGTGTGGCGGGAAAATATTTGAGGTGTATGTAATAGATAGTGCATCTCTTTTTAACGTCCCACTGCTGGGAGTGGGCCTCCCTTCAAAACGAGGGGATCAAGCCATAGTCCACCACGCTGGCCAAGTGCGGGTTGGTGGACTTCACGTGTTTTTTGCAGGTTTCCTCACGATATTTTCTTTCACAGTAAGATAATTGGTAATCACGATGGATATGATTCGCAAATGAAAACATCAAAGACCAGGAATTTAAACCCGCTTCGCTTACTTTCCTAAACGAGCGCCTACAATATAGTCAGTCTGTAGGGAAGCTTTCAACTTGGAAAGCAGATATCAAAGCAGTTAAGGTTGTGAGTTCGAGTCCCTGGTGACTTACACATACACACACAGACACGCTCGTACATACATACATATACCATTATTTATATTTAATACCATCTTTAAATGTAATAACTGTGGTGATGTCCGTCATAATACAGGTCTCCTAGTGTCAATAATGGAAGCCATTCATACTATTTTCCATTTATTATAAATAATATTATATTTGTAGTATGGAATAGATAGACTGTCATATATACATATGTAGGTAATGAGTTGTATATCTCTTACTTGAGAAATTATTGATTCCCCATACAAACTTTCACCCCCTTTTGTAGCTCTTTAAGGGATGATTTTCGGGATAAAATCTATCCTATGTCCTTCTTAGGGTTTCAAACTATCTCCATACTAAATTTCATCTAAATCGGTTCAGCGGATTAAGCGTGAAAAGATAAGAAACAGACAGTTACTTTCGCATTTATAATATATATCAGTATGGATGTTTAATGTAAGGTTCGGCAAATATCTAGAGCGCCGCCGACCTCGATGGAGTCGAGCACGCGCGGCAGGCCCAGCTTGTCGGCGTCGGGCGCCGCCATCACGGCGCCGCGGATGAGCCGCTGCAGCGCCGTCGGGCTCTCGCTCTCGCTCAGCTTGCACTGCGCGGAGAGGGACGGCCGTTATACCGACGGTCACAGAGAGAGACATTGACATTCCAAAATGCCTTTATTTTAAAGAGAATGGCGCAAAATGTCAGCAGGAATAAAAAATTAAATTAACAAATTACTTCTTATGATGTAATTGTGTAAACAAAAATATATACACATATTTTTATATTAACGAAACACTGGAAAAAGTGACATTAAAAAGCTAACATTGTACAGAATGAAATGGTTTTATTTTTAAACTAATGGAAATTCTATAGAATTAAATATTCTACGATGGTGCAAATGCCATTTTTTCAAAAATACTGAGATTTTAGAAAAAGTCACGTCAACCTTTTAAGCTATTGCATAGCTTCTATCGCGGGCCTTGAGCGTGGGGACCGAATCCAGAAATTCCGTAACGAAAAAAACCTGACACCCCCCACTCCGACCGGCACAGCGGTGATACTTCCATCTATCGATAAATACCAGAACTTTTAATGACTTTTTGAAATATCACGCTTGTCTCTTTAGTTCAGCAACCCGCCTTTAGGTGGCATTGGTTGTATTGGAAAACTACCGTAATCAGCTGTTTGTGAGAAAGTATATAGGTGTATAGGTATTTATCATCTATGTACAACAGTGAATATCTGTACTCGTATAATTTGTGTACAAAGTGTTTTAAATATGAATAAACAAAGTGCATTTATTAATGAAGAAAGTCACGAAAAAATAGTGAAAGAAATTGAGTTAGTACTCTATATACATTCATTTTATTATTATTATCACAAATGCAGTATTATTTTTTGTTTTGTTAATTTATATATAATACAGCTATAAAGATAACCAAAATTTTTGATATTAAAATAAGCTTGCATAAGTTGATAAAAAATGCTATGCAATAGCTTTACCGCGGCAGTCTCCGAGTGCCACATTTAATTTTTATATAATTAAGTTTATTCTTAATCGGATAAGTGACGAGATATCGTATAACATATAGAATACACAGACACACAAAATACGTAACCCCGAATGAGTACTCCACATCTCTCTTTCTTTTCAAAATTAATCAATAAATAAAACAATATTCTAGAACAATAAGCCCCTAGACTCACGTTAGCGACCTGGTCGTAGTGCGTGCCGACCATGATGACGGGCGAGCCCGGCGCACGCGCTTGTATGGACCTGCAAATTCAAATTCAAAATATTTTATTCAGCATTAAATTATTACATTTTTTTACTGAACGTCATGATTTCGGAAAGAAAAATCCTCAGTCCTGAGAAGAACTGGCAAAAGAAACTCAGCGGGATTAATATTGTAGCGGGTAAATTATATAATACTGTGTTGGGAGTTTACATCGATGCTCAATAGATGGCGTTACGGTCTGACTGAATCGCGCCATGGTTTGGTTCATTTAATAAACATATAAATGTTACTGTCTCCATACTAATATAATAAATGTGAAAGTGTGTTTGTTCGTTTGTTTGTTTGTCCTTCTTTCACGTCAAAACATAGTGACGGAGATAGTTGGTGGGTTGGAGAGTGACATAGGCTACTTTTTTATTTTATTTTTATTTATTAAATTGCCATATCTTAAATGAAAACTTTAACGATTATTTGCTTATATGCTAAATATATGTAAGTCTTGTGGCTAGCATGTGCGGCTGCAGATCCGAAAGTCCTGGGTTCGATTCCTAGATCAGATCATGGCTAGCCTCAGTGAGATTAGTCGTCGTGGCCGATGTCGGTATTCAAGTGATTGTTAAAATTATGTTTTAAGCTAAATACGTCATAGATTTTGTTAAAACAACGCAATAATCTATTCGTTACCAAAAAAAAAAAAACAAAAATCGGTTCACAGTTGACAAAACCATCTCCTAACATACTTGAGTAGCTCCTTTTCAAAAGTCGGTCAAATATATGATTTGAATATAAAATAAAACAACAAAGATGTCACCTGAGCCACTGCAGCGCGCCGGCGAGCCCCTTGCGGCCGTCGGGCACCTTCCACACCACCAGGTACAGCGACCGCTTCGACAGGAAGTACTGGTGCGTGGCGTAGTACCTGCGCACGCGCACTGTTTTTACAATGGACCGGGACTATAGTGGACTAAGACCATCGTGGACCGGGACCACCGTGGACCGTGGATGATCGTGGACCAAGAGAGAGTAGTGCAATGGAAGGAGTTGATATAAATAAGTAATATATCGATTTAACATTTAGATTTTTGCAATTATTCAAATAACTCTTTATTGTACATGCATTCTTGTAATTCCTATGCTTATGGTACAAAATGTTTTATTTTAAATTTTATTTTCTTGACAGGTAAATATGACAAAAATCAATTCTAACGTTCAATTTCAAAAACGTCAGTATACCTGCAATTAGGGCATGTAACAAACATTTAACACTTAACAAAGGTAATTAAACAATTGTGACGAAATATTTCGTTTTACATCATACAAATATTGTGAATTATTACGACAGTTTAAAGACTTTTATTATTTAAAAAAAAGCCGCAATGAAAAATATTTGTTACAATAAAGAGAATAAAGCCAAAAAGTAAATAAAACTGGTCAAATCGAGTCCTAATCGTAACAAACAGGCCACTCACTCCTGCTGCCCGCCGAAGTCCCACGTCCTGAAGGTGACGGGCCCGCGCTGCGCGCGCTGCGGCTCGTACACCCACGCGCCGATGTCCACGCCCACCGTGGACACGCCGCGCCGCGACGACTTGTTGCCCATGCGCTTGGCCCAGTGCTGCCGAGTGGGAACACAAATATTGCTTTGTTGTTATACATAAATATGTTGAGACATTAACACACCGCGCCATCTAGTTCCATGGAAAGCTACGAGGCTTGTGTTATATACCACATAGTTGATACACTACACTAATTATAACTTTAAATGCATACAAATTATAAATATAAACACCTATAACTGGAGTGTAAACATTCATGCTCATCACACAAATGAATGCCTCCAGCGGGACTGGAACCCGCGACCTCTGGCACAGTAAGAAGTATCAATTCCAACTGTTAAGTTAACTCTTTACAAGCGCAACATTTTAGCACAATATATATATATATATATATATATATATATATAAATATATTTATATGATTAGATGAAACATTCATTTTTGTCGTGTAATTGCCGTTTTTTTTATCCAGTATCATACTCACTTCAGTTGGTTTCCTTCGATGTTGTATCGGAGATTCTTGTCTTAAACACTCCAGGAGACTGGTTTTTCCTATGCCCTGTAAATAAACATTTAACTATAAAAAAAAACAACTCCGCATCCACCGTGGCATAAACCCGTAACTAACGAAACTAAAGTCAATTTCCTAAAACCGATAAACTTACTAATACTACAAATGTAAAAGTTTAAAATGTTTGGATGGATGTTTGTTACTCAATCACACCAGAACGGCTGAACGGATCTGGATGAAATTTGGTATAGTGATAGATTATAGTCTGGAATAGCACATAGTTTACTTTTTATCCCGGAAAAATGTACGGTTTCCGTGGGATAGATTTGTTTTAGCGTGGACTAGTTAGTAATATGTTTCAACTCGTACATACGAGTATATCCCTTACATTGTACTCCAATATCAAAATTCTCTTTACATACACACACAAACTCGTGTGAAGTTGGTCCTTCGAGACAGTGTAGGGCTCACCTGCACGCCGACCAGCATGAGCTTGAGGCGCGCGTAGGGCTTCGCCTCCTGCAGCACGGAGCGCAGGTAGCCCACCACGTCCACGCTGCGGCCGCGGCCGCCGCGCACCACCGCGCGCAGCGGCTCCGCCAGCGCGCAGCCCGCCGTGTTCAGGTTCCACAGCCGCGTCAGCAGCCCCATCTGCGGCGGCAGGTCCGTGATGTCTGCGGGGCACAGGGACGGTGTGTGTTTGTATGATCCCTATGGACTCCGAAACGGTTGGAGCGATTTTGATGTAATTTTCAGACACACTGAAGTGTGCCTTGTGATTGTATTATCGCTCGCACGCTAACCTGAACGTTAGCCCAGCGGGGACCTTTTCAATTTTTGTAATGTTCGGAAGTTTAACTTTAAACGCGAAGCCGCGGGTAGTGCTAGTAGTATTATTATAGTAAATAACTTATCTTTGCGCTTGGCACAGTAACATAACAATATTTTTTTTTGAAAATAAAAGAAGTATATGAGTAGAAAAAAATAATGCACAATATTTATAACTATATGTACGAGTAGAAGCTTACAATTCAGCAACTGTTGACTAAAAATAATAAATTAGAAACATCTTAATTTTAAAGAGGGATGGATATAGAGGAGAGCGAGAGAGAAAATGAGTGAGAGAGTGAGATACCCTTGTTGCCGCTGAGGTTGAGCACGGCGAGGTTGGAGAGCAGGTGCAGCGCGGGCGGCACGGCGCGCAGCAGGTTGCTAGACACGTCCAGCATAGACAGCAGCGGGAACAGCAGCCGCGCGCGCAGCGACCCGCGGCTGCTCTGCACGCACAGATAGAAACACATCGACATAGCACACGTACAGACATGTCCTACACCACTACTTTCTAACGTTACACTTATGTAATTGTATCTCACCGGCTAGAGCCAGTACTACCCACTAAAACCCAACATAACTTCCCCGTCTAAATAGGGCGTCACAAGATCGCTTACGCACTCACGCAACGCCCCGACAGCAGGTCTGCCGAAGCAGACCACAACAAACATGGGGTTGCTCCAACAGTCCACTTTGCTGTCAGAGAAATACCAGGAGCAACCTGTATGGTACACAGCCAAGTGGGCCGTCTTCCAGTGTGTCTTTTGGTTTCACAGCCCGCTGAATTGCGGTAAATTAATGATGTACATATTTATCGGAATAAAAAATAGCCTAAGGCACTTCTATCAGTGAAAGAATTTTCAAAATCGGTCAGTAGCTTCTCATACAATGAACTCGGAATCTCCTTTGCCAAATCAATAGAGATATAGAAAAATATGTCAACTTAAGGTCTGTGTGTGTGTGAGTGCGTGTGTATGTGTGCACTTACCCATTCGTCATCGGTGTCGTCGTCGGCGGGCTCGCTGGCCGGCGCCAGCCCGTCGTCGTCCGTCGTCAGCTGTATGCGGGTTAGCATGTTGTTGGCGAGGATCTGGAAATAAGGTTAGAAATATTTGAAGTTTTTTTTTGTCGAATACCTTTGATACTAATTTTTCATTTTAATTTATAAAATAACATTCTAAAAATTAGACCAAGTATATAATGATCTATCTATATATATAAGCTCGCACTCATTCACTGCCTTGACACGGAACCTGAGGTTCTCAGAGCCGTAGATGTTCACCATAAAGAAGTTTATTTATCGCTAGGCAAATTATTTAGGGCACATCTAAAGACGCAGATTTTCTATAAGTTCTCATTCCTCCTGCCCAGAGGCTGACCACCAGGGTCACAGGAGGTGCAGGAGCAAGCCACCGACCAGCGTGCGCAGTCCCTCGAGGCGCAGGTGGCGGCGCGCGGGGCACGCGGCGCTCAGCAGCTGCGCGCGCACGGAGCCGCCGGAGCGCGGGCGCGCCGCCCCCCGCGCCGGCCCACGCCCCGCGCAGTGGCACGCCAGCGGGGAGCCCTCCGCGCCGCCCACGTTCTCGATCTGTTCGTGTATCACGTGTTTTATTATATGTCCAAAACCAACATTTGGACATGTCCAAAAACGATCCATTTCTAGATAAACGATTTTTTTAATCAGTTTTTATTTTAGTGGATATTTATATTTAAAATGAACAAACCTTTAAGATTACTTGGGGATTGCGTAAAACTTATTTATGATCTACTCTTGCATACACATTATATACATGATATGTAACAAAGTTAAAAGTAAAAGAACTATACAAACAATGTATTAGAAAAATTATTTTCCAATTAATTTTTATAGAACATACATTTGATTCCCCATACAAAAGTTCATCCCCATTTTCACCCCTTAAGGGATAATTTCCGGATAAAAACAACCCTATGTCCTTCCCAACGCCTCAAACTATCTTCTTACCAAATTTCATCTAAATCGGTTCAGTAGTTTCGGGGTTTATTCGGAACACTCAAACAAACAAAAAATCTTTCCTCTTTATAATATTAGTATAGATAATATTGTTTTATGTGTGATTATATGAAGGTATGAATATATTCTTAAACAGCGAATAGGTTAAGAGTTGATGAGATGTGATGTGATGGTGGGTGATGGGTGATGGTTGAGGAGTACCTGCGGCAAGCTGGGCCAGCAGGAGATCTCGTTGTGGCTGAGGTCCAGCTGGCGCAGGCTGGTGGGGTACGACGTCACGTACGACATCGACCTGTGGCGCACAACAGAGTTACATAATATGACACGTGTTCCAAAGTGTGTCTTTTTTGTATGAACTTAATGGCATTTTGAACAAGAGTTGGTTATAAACCACTAAAGGAATAAAATTTTATATCAGCGTGATTTTTAAGATTCTGTAATCCTGATAATCTCGTCTTATCCATCTGTCCGTATATCACAGCCATTTTACTCGAAGACTATTGAAGCTACATATTTAAATTTGCTGAGTTGTTTTTGTTGCTGTCTAATGGAGAGAAGGATAGATCGCCCAAAATAGTTTTTAGTTACGGAATATTCGACAAATTCGAATATTAGAATATGAACAATGAACTAATAATAAGAGAGAACGCGCTTATGAATGACTTTTGTGTTTAAGCATTTTAGGTGATGAAGACAAAATACGAATCTAGTCTGCATTGACCAAGCCAGTTTTTCTCGTAGTTCTTCTAACCAAATTGCAATATTTGACAAATTATATTAATATTTTTGATATAGACATTCTTAGAATGAAATGAGAATTAACTTTATATAATTTGAATTTTACCACCATTTTTGAGTCGTCAATTTCATTTAAAGAGAGTCAACTGTTTAGCTACCACCGCCTTTTAAAGTACCGCTCGACCTACCGTAAGTTATTATACGCCATGTTGAGCCTGGTGAGGTTGGGCGCGCGGCACGCCAGCGGCTGCGGCACGCACGCGAACTGGTTGTGCGCCAGGTTGAGGGACGCGAGGCCGCCGCCCGCGCCCGGCGCCCGCCCCGCGCCGCGCACCGGCGACTCGGCGCGCGCGCCGCGCCACGCGTGCACGCGCCGCGCCTCCGACCAGCTGACCGTGCGGGGTGTCATGGCACGTGTTAGTAACATTTATTAAGTATGGATCTCAACTATTCGAGCAAATCTATGAAAGTACATTTACGCGATACTTGACATACATACTAAAGTTATAAATGCGAAAGTAATTCTGTCTGTCTTTCTTTTAACCGAAAACTGAACGGAGTTAGTGTGATACTTAATTATAATATTTATTAAATGTTTTACAATGTTTAGATATAAAAAATCAACAAATATTATAAGGTACTTTATTGCTATTATTTTTGTGTTTGAGACATCTAACACCTCAGTCTCTCCCGTGACCACGGATGCTGTAAAGCATTCGAAACGTCGGGAACCAAAAATCTAAATAAATAAGCGAAATAATTCGAAAAGATAGTTTTACTTAAAATACTTTTTTCTTTTTTTAATTTATTACTTATGATTAAATAAAAATTACTTAAACTTAAGAGTCAAAATGGGTATTGGTGGGAAATAGGAAGTGAACGGTAAGTAATAATTTTTTATTTAAAATTATCTTTAAATATTTGTTTTGCTATCTTATAAGCAGACCAACTATTTAAAATATAGGGCTCTACTCACACAGCATTGCCCGCCCTGTTGCCGATGTAGGGCACGTCCTCGTCGTCGGGCGACGCCTCGCTCGCGTCCAGCGACGGGCTGCGAGAGGAAGACTTCTGGAAGTGAACGGAACACCGCACAATAGGTAAAATAATATTTAAATTATGACAATTACGTTACACGTGTTGTGTTTCCGCACAAATGCAATTCTCCAGCGCTTATAAATTGTTATTTTATTAGTTTATTATTTAGTGTATCTTTGAATAATAAATCAGAACTATCACTCGTTGGGTTTTGTTTCGTACTTAACATTTCCCTGCTACACTCTATAAACTGTTACACAACACAGTTTTTTGATCCTTCGAGCCGGATTATTAGTATTTACACTTTATCATTTTACACGGCATTACTAGTTTCTGTTTAAAGCTAATGTTACAAAATAAAAAATAATATAATATATCGCGTAAATCTAAGGAAGTATTAAACGATGGGTAGTTAAACTCACAGATCCAAAGGCGTAGGGCGCGGAGTGTATGGAGGGCGAAGCGCTCGGCGACGGCTCTGACGGCGGCGCCTGCTGCCCCGTCTCCGGACCCTGGGTAAAGCCATGTTACATTGGATTAGTTTCTTTTTTGAAGATATAATAGGGAGATAACTCTTCAGTCTACCCCGATGTGTGTGACCCTGTGGTGGGCTCATTAGCATCCGGCAATACAGCCGGGCGTGAAGCCAAGACACACACTAGGAGGCGCAAGATGTACCATGCGGGTTGCTCCTAGTACTTCTCTGATAGCAGAGTGGACTGTAGAGCAACCTTGGCTGTTGTGGTCTGCTTCGACTAACCTGCTGTCGGAGCGTCATAGTTGAGTGCGTAAGCGATCCTGCGAAGCCCCATTAAGACGGAGAAGGTTTTATTGGGTTTTAGTGGGTAGTATTGACTTTGCCGGTGAGTCCCACACCTCGTGCGTAAATGATCTTCGAACGTTAAAAAAAAGGGTGGTTATGAGTAAATACATTTCCCTAAATAACGAACATGGCTCCTGACCTCGTCCCCGGCGGGCAGGTCGGTGAGGTGGTTGAGGGCGGCGTTGAGGTCGCGCAGCGCGGGCGCGCGCCACAGCGCGGCGGGCAGCGCGCGCAGCTTGTTGTTGGACGCGTCGAGGCTGGCCAGCGCCGGCAGCAGGAACAGCGCGCCCGGCAGCGACTCCAGCCGGTTGTCCTGCCACCAGGTTACATATTTGTAGAGTGACATGGGTATCATACATTGACATTGACTCCCCCACCGAATGATATTGTTTTTTTTTTATTAAAAAAAGTCTTCAAAGTACAGGTATAGATTCGTGTATGTATATTTTTTATAACTTGATAATATAACAATGGGCTACACATGAGTAAGAACTCAGGCATCATACTATGATATGATGTGCTACTGTTCTTGTATATTGAGTAAAAAATATTTTTGTAGGGTTGTTCCTACTAGAGTTCCCTATTTAGTTTTGGAACCGTAATAGGGCCAATCCTAAAGATAATTTTCTCATAACCTAGCCAACTAGACTAGCCAAAAACGCATCGTGGTAAGAGGGTCAGTTTGACGACATTTAAAAAAAATTAAACAATTTTGTCTCATCTAGGGAGCCCACCTGCAGGTAGAGCTCCTGCAGCACGGGCGCGGTGTACACGTCGCGCTCGCGCGCCGCGCGCCTCCGCCGCCCGCGCGCCTCCTCCTCCTCCAGCGGGTCCTCCGCGGTCGGGAGCCGCTCCAGCTTGTTTTGGGCCACGTTCAAGTACCTGACAGAGAAGTATATTGAATAGTTATTGCTGTATATTATTTTTTAATAACAAAATTTAAATTTTGTTATTCTAGATTAAAATTTAAAAAAGAATTTAAAATACTCAAAAGGAAATATGGAGTTGGCTTCTGTATGAGTAAGAGGCACCATGAGATCACATAGTCCACCACGCTAAGTGCGGGGGCGGATCTCACATGTTTCACGATGTTTTCCTTCACCGTAAGACAAGTGGCATTCATGTTGGAAGGGATTCACAGATGAAAATATTAGAGGTGCGAAACCCGGGATTTGAATCCACTTTACTTGGTTTTTCAAGCGAGAGCGTCACCACTGCCAAAAAGGAAATATAAAAAAAGCCAATTATCCATATTAAAAAAATAACAGTAGTGAAGGGAAGACTATGGTAGTGTATGAGTGTATGGGAGTGTATAGGAGTGTATTTGAGTGTGTACGAGTGTATGAGAGTGTATAGGTATATGGGAGTATATAGAATGTATAGGAATGTGTGAAAGTGTATAGGAGTGTATGTGAGTGTACGCAGACTTGTGCAACTCACACCAGACTGAGCATGGAGAATATCTCGCGCGGCAACACGCGCAGCTCATTGTTGGCGAGCTCGAGGCGCGTGACGGCGAGCAGCGCGCCGCCGCCCGCCAGCGCGGGGTTCACGCGCAGCGCCGCGCCCGCCACCCAGCTCATCCTGCGACACACACATATATACGTGTAGCTTCATCATGTCACATCGCATATTTTTTATTTGTTGAAGTCGTTTAATCCATTAATCAATAGATGGCGTTAACAATATTTTGAATTGAGCCTCCAACATTAACAACAATAGGTTAGGTTAGAGTTGGCAGTTCTGTAGATTGAGATTTTGAAGTTATCGAAGTTTTGTAGAGCGTCGTTGGGTTTTCAATGACATTGGTTGTTTATAGTACAAAATTAAAAAGGTTGTCGTTTCATCACATTTAAAAAAAATATTTAAAAAATAATTAATTTTTTATGATTTAAACTATTTATTTATTATTTCCAACTGATGATCATAAAACATTAAATACTACATATCTAACAAAAACATTAAAAAATGTAACAAAACTATTCAGTGGGAACACCGGCTCGAAGGACTCACTTGATGTGCGAGAGCTGGCAGCGCAGCTCGCGCCAGTTGAGCATGACGGGCGTGGAGGGGCAGCGCGCGCGGTACGACAGCGCGGGCGCGGCGCGCGCGCGCAGCAGCGCCGCCGCCACCGCCGGCTTGTTGATCTTGTGCTCCGGGTCCGGGTACGCCTGCGCACCGTCACCGTGGCTTGTCATTACGCCGAAATATCGACAACTCTCAAAAGTATATGCTAAGCATTGTACATATCTCGTTTTACATCATCATCATATTTCTTGCCAGTGGCCAAAGTTTACAGACTTGTTTAATTTTATTGATAAAATTAAATAGTACTCGCAGATGAGATACTTGTAAAAAAAACTTAAGTTTGATAAACTTTTTATTAATGTCGTAAATGTGAATTGTCGTTAGGTTGATTTTAGACTTAATAATTATCTTATATTGAACGAGTAAATGATTTTACGTATATAAAATTTTCTCTAATAGATTAATTTATTTTAATACCTCAAATTCATTCCATCAAACATTAATATATAAGAGAAAAATTTTAAAACACATTACTTTTAACCGTGGTAAAATAATTTTGTAAAATGACCCACCTTGGTGGCGAGCAGCGCGGCCACGAGGTCGGCCAGGCCGTGGCGCGCGCACTCGCGCAGCGCGCGCCCGCCCGGGTCCGTGGCGCCGCCCGCCAGCAGCATCTCCACGATCTGCACGTTCCTGGCGCGCGCGGCCACGGCCAGCGCCGTCCACGGGCCCTCGCCTGCACACAGGCAGACAAATGCGATAGAACATTTGTGGCATTGTCAAACCCGCCATTTTTATTTTTTTTTACAAACTAGCGGCGCACAGTAAAACGAGTATATATGGATAGATTGCATTTAAATAAATAAAAAAGTATTCATAATGTAGTGTCAAAAGTGTCACATTTCCGAGATATTTGAGGATAGACTTTTTTGTAACACTTGTTTACAAAATTAAGGTATATTATTTCTGAATTGCATATGAAAACATAAGTCTAATTGTATGTATGAAGTAATGCCAGCAGAGGGCAGTACTCACGGTCGTCGCCGTAGTTGGGGCGCGCGGGCGAGGGCGAGGCGCGGCTGCGGGACACCGACGCGCTGCGCGAGCGCCGCCGCGCCTCGCGCCCGTCAGAGGACTCCTGGGTTGCATATATTTTTTTAAGTTTAGTTAAAAGATGGTAGTTTTCATATGAAATAACTTTTTTTCATTTGTTATTAATAAACAAAAATTCTTAATACATTTATAATACTTTAATGTGTTTTTGTTACAATACTTAAATAATTTTTTTAATATATCCGTGGATAGCCAAATTGTAAACTATGACATAAATATTATAAAAAATCTTACATTGATTTTAACGGAAATGTTGTTAAAAATTACCAATTTTATAGCAAACGGTTTCGTTACAGCACTGAAGTGCCGTTAGAAATTACAGTACTCGTCAACCCTAAAAACGTTTTGTGTTAGTCACACTAAAGGAAGTATGAAAGTCGGGAGCACGTCGTGACCGACCTCCGGCGGCGGCAGCGCGGGCGCGTCTGCGCGCGCGCCGGCGGCCAGCAGGCGGCGCAGCACGCGCGCGTGCGCCCGGCGCGCCGCGCACGCCACGCAGCTGTCCGCGCCGCGCGCCGCCTCCACGCGCACCGCGCGCACGCGCCGCTCCGCCCGCTCGCGCTCCCGCTCCGCACTCGCCTGCCAACCGTAATAAATATTAAATATACGCATGAATAATTTAATCATTTATATAAATTTCATTACAGTAAATATTGATTAAATCAAAATTTATTTAAGAAGTATCAGAAGTTATTATTTCCTGACCGATTCCGGTCACAGCGGCAGCGTGAAACCGACAGTTTAACTTGCTCTTTATAGAAACATTCATACCACCGATTCCCGGACACCGAGCTCAGTGTACTCAGTATTTCTTAATATTAATTAGATCCGACTCGGGACTCGAACCCATGACCAAAAAGAACAAAAAATTAAGCTTTTTGAAAAATACACTTATTCCTAAAATATTCAAAATTACCTTATATCCAAAGCTTTTACCCTAAATGTTTAAATACTCTAAACGAGCCCAGCTAACTCACAGTTTTACCACCGGTGAGCTTGTTGACGATAGCGTGTATGCCCTGCGAGATGCTGCGCTGCGGGCTCAGCAAGGGCGTGGGCGCGAGCGCGGGCGGCGCGGCCTCCGGCGGCGTCTCTTCCTCGCCTTTTACTGGCTGTACAACGTTTTTAAAATGTTGCTATATATTGATTTTCAGTAACAAAAATAGCTAGTAAAAAAAAATGTTTTTTTAAACACAGATTTCAAACTTAATCTTGGTTATAATTTTTAATTTCAATTTTTAAAAAGGCACAGGGGTGAAACACCGCTAATTTCCCAACTCTGAGAAATTACTAAAAAAAAAAAAGTTGACAAAAAATTCAATAATTAGACCAACCCGAGACTCGAACTAAGGATCACCGGATCTGTAGCCGTAGATGCCAGCCAATAGACCATCTTATTATTTAAGTAATTAATTAATTGTGGCTGAATAAATATGAGAAAAAACTAGCGAAAGGATTCGGTATTCAATGGAGGACCTGAGACGGAACAAACACGTTTATATCATCTGAAACTTTCTCGACCTGGTCTTCTATATATGTATGTATATATATGTCAGGACATTAGCACACAGCACCATCTAGTTCCATGGTAAGCTACGAGGCCTGTGTTATGGACACCAGATAGTTGATACATTATACATATATAACTTTAAATACATACATATTATAAATATAAACATCCATGACTGGAGTACAAACATTCGTGCTCGTCACACAAATGAATGCCCCCCAGCGGGACTCGAACTCGCGACCGCTGGCGCAGCAAGTAGGGTCATTACAAACTGAGCCAAACGTGTCGTCAAGAAAATGTAAATAGTAATACGTTACCCGGTAGACGGGCACGGTGTGGGAGAGCAGCGCGTCGACGACGTCCACGTTGCCGAGCGTGCAGGCCACGTACAGCGCGGTCTGCCCGCTGGCGTCGCGCGCGTTCACGTCGAACGCGAACCGGTACTGCCACTTGCCGCTCGCGTCTCTGTACCGGAGACACGTTTGGGGAAATGTTATTTACACTCCAAATCTTTGTTTTGATCGAAATAAAACTATTTATTATGATTTCTGATGCCCAATTAGTCTCTCCCATGATCGTGTTTGCTATAAAGCACCAGAAACAACGGAATAACCATATAAATAGTTTTATTTCATTATCAAATTTGCTTTAATTTAAAAAAAAGAAAGCCCGAAATTAATATTGAATAATTATATGTTGGATTAAAAGGTTTATCGACTTCAATAGCATTTTTAATTTTATTTAAGTGCACTATTCTTCTGGAAGGAACCTTCTGGAAACTTAGTGGTTCCATCATTTTTGGGAACTGGTGGGTTTTTTTTTAATTGAAGCGAGGGATGAAATAATGGTCGCGGTTCCCACTATGCCACTAGAGCTACATACATATATCCGATTTATCTAAAACTTCTTTGATCTTTAATCCTTACATTAAAAAATAATAATGAAAATAAGTTTAGAAATGGCGAATATTCGTAAAAGGCACCAAAAATACATACAGCAGAATTCCATTTCTCCATTTTGAAAGATTTTGTATTTGAAAAAATTCAAGAAATTATTCAATACTAGCGACTCACCCTCACTTCCCTCGGGTTCATATCCTTAGGTTGCTTCCCCATACAAACTTTCATCCCCATTTTCACCCCCATAAGGGATGATTTCCGGGATAAAAAGTATTCTATGCCCTTCCCAGGATCTCAAACTATCTTCCTACCAAATTCCATCTGAATCGGTTCAGTAGATCCAGAGATTACTCCCTACAACGTCACAAACTCACAATTCACAAATTCACAAACTTAAAACTTTACTTCTTTATAATACTAGTATAGATATGTGACTCACTAGTGCCAAGATTGTTTAGGAGACAAAGTGCCACGACCAGAAGTTCCTCATTCCAGAGATAACGCAGTCCTTGTGGGTGACCCCGAGGTCGAGGTCGAGGTTAAGTCAACAGTATTGATACATCAATAACTTTTTAATTGGTTTTAGAGATAGAGCAAGCGATATTTTTATTGCCAAAATTCAATAAAAAATACCCAACTTTTTTTATTTACAGCTGTTTAGATTTGGCCAGTTAGACAAAAACTATTTTTAGACATATAACTAATTTTTTTATCTTGTAATCACCTCTTAAAACTTTTCATTTTGAAACGAAAAATGCGAAAGATTTCTAAACTGGCGCCTAAAATTTAATCGTTATCTAGTGAAACACCAATGAGCAGACAGGCAGACAAAATCTTAAAATGTGTGGTTTTGACCTCTACATACGTAAATCTCCCAAATTTGGCTTAATATATAAATAAATATCTATAATCTATACTAACTGAATCGAATCTGTATAATTAATATTTTTTGGAAAATCTTATTGAAATAGCCATTATTATCGATAGGCCGAATCTATAGTTTTTAGAATTTTTGCCCGTATGTCTGTCTGTTTGAGAACGCACCACGAGAAAACCACGGGACTGATTTTGATGAAATTTAGTATGATGATAGCTGGTTATCCAAGTCAACATATAGGCGACTTTTTACTGCGGGACAATATCTCATCTTTGAGAAATCTATGCTAAACGTTAAAACGTAACTAGGGACGAACTCGAGCGGAGCATGGGTGAGCCGCTAGTAGTATAATATATATTCTATGAAACTGATAACTCACGTGTACGTGCTTAGCAAATGCTCCGGGTAGTTGTACTCCAGCAGCAGAGTGACGAGCGCGGGGTGTCCTCCGATACACGCGGCGTGAAGTGGCAGCCATTTCTCAACTGTCTCTTGCTGAAAATATTTTATACTTTTATTATATTAGCAACTAACGACTCACCGTCACTCAGATAACGGAGCCAGCTAGTAACTTTGCAGGGTCATATCTATCAAAAGATTTCTATAAAGAATTGGCATAGATGTCGTCTAAATCCATACTAATATTTTAAATTTGAAATGTTTGTTTGTTTGTCCTTCTTGCACGTTGAAATAGATTGACGGATAGGCGTGATTTTTTGTGTGGAGATAGAGGGCTGGAGAGTGACATAGACTACTTTTTACCGCGGGAGATTATCTAATTCCCACGGGATTACACGTTATGATACAATCCAAAACAATATTTATGATTAGAATTACTTGAAACTTGGTATAAGTGCTCTTCAATAAAATTACATTTATACGTGTTTTAGCATTTTCCGAAATTCATCCTATAAGGGGGTTAAATAGGGGATATAAAAGTATGTATGAAACTATAATATCTTCTATCCAAAACTGATGGGCCTCTCATAGGAAAATATTACATTGTTTTGGTAGTTAATATTTAGAAATACTCACCGCCGAAAAGTTTCTCCGAATGCGAAATAGCAACAGTACTAAAATTGCCCAAATTCATGGAACATAAACGTGCTTATAAGAACTCTTTTTTATTTCATCGCGAACAAATTGGGGGTTTGGTTGTTACAATATTGTTTTAATCACGTCATAACGTGCACGTGATCACGTAAGAATATCTCCAGGAAACCCAACACGGCGACACCGACACTTGGGCACAATCAATTACCCATTGACACCTCATTAATAGACATAACGTCACTGATACAATAATCGAAGGACGCTCGTTCATTTTATGCATATGCATTACTAGCATTGGTCCGTGGCTCTGTCCGTATAATTTAAAAAAACATGGTTTTTCATACAAAATTCCAACCCCCTTCTTACCCATCAGGGTTTGTATTTTCAAAAATCCTTTCTTTGCCCAATATCTATGACAAATATAACTACCAAATTGCTTTGGAGCCCGATAATTTCTACTTATTATATAGACGATGGAAAAGTTCAGATAAACAAAAGAGGTCCAATAAGTTAAAAAATTGTATTGCAATACGTCAATCCCTATTAATAGATATCTCTTCTTCAACAATTGAATAACATCTTGTCTGAGTGCAAGTTTTTTTGTAATAATAATTGGCATCATATTTTTAGCTAAACACTCCAAAGTGAAATTTATCCAAAATATCCAACCTGAACTGCTTCAGGGAAGTGCTGCAGGAGAAGCTGGGCGATGTCCTGGTGTCCGTGGTAGCAGGCGATGTATAGCGGCCCGTATCTGGTGACGGGGTGCGCGCGCCCGTCCGCGCCCGCCTCCACCAGGGCTGACGCTGCTGCTGTTGCTCCTAGTTCTGATGCCCTGGAAGTTAAACAAAAATTTGTAGCTGTGTCTGTCTGTTTGCACGTGTTGTACTTGTGGCTGTATGATTCGATGGAGATCTTAAAATTAAGGTCTTTCTTATACTCAATTACGTTGAGATTATAATAATTACAAGTGTTCGCCCAGCGGCAGCTTTTTCGTTCACAACTAGGCACCGAGCTCGATACTATCCTCAAGGCGAGGCAGAATAGACCCTAGTCCAGAACGCAGATTAAATACGTTTTAACGAAAAAAAAAATTAAATGTAAATGAAATTTCGAATGAATATCAATTATAAAATAATAATTCAGATAGCAGATTAGACATATTTTTTTTAATATTGTAACAATATAGCCATTATATTAAGCGATCAAATTGATACAGCATGATTGATGTGACCTTGTTTTTTCTTAACATTTTGTTAATATATTTAATTATAGAAACTAAGTTTGCATCCTATGTTGCAAATAGTGGTATATATTCCAACATTACAACTGCCTCGGTGGTGTAATGGCTAGCATGTACGGCTGCACACTCGGAGGTCCTGGGTTCGAGTCCCGGGTCGGGCCAAGTTTAGTTATTGAGTCTTTCTGTATATTAAGCCTCAATAACAGCCCGGAGTTGGGAAGTTGGCGGTTTTTCACCCCCGTGCCTCGGAGAGCACGTAAAGCTGTCGGTCCTGCGCCTTAACTCTCACTGGTCGTGTCGAGTAATCGTCCCACCGGAGTATGAGAGTGACAGGGATAGAGAGTGCACGTTGTGTCTGCGCGTACACTTGTGCACTATAATATCTCCTGCGCAGTTGGCTAGTCTCAATGAGATTGCCCGCGAACATAATATTTCAAAACTTCAGAAAAATTGTCCCACCTATCATTCCAATTTTAAAGACTTTCGAAAAAAATATTAAAAAAAGAGCGTGTGTGTGCAATTCACACACGGTAGAACTGAAACTTCAGAAAGTAACCTACGAGAGAATGAGATGAATATAGAGTATCAGGAGTAGGATAATTGTAAGGGATATTTTTTATAATATTTTTACCAAGTTTAAAAGTTTATTTTACATTTTATTTGACATAAATATATATTTGTCAGACAATAACAACGGTTACCATGGCAACAGCCAACATGGCAACGTATTCTATCCCATTCTCTTGCCGGCTTAATCCTATATATTTATGTGTTTGTCTCTTTCTCGTGTCCCATTTCCGTTTCATCGAATTTCAAATCACAACGATTCTACAAAAGTTTCACTTCAAAAACCATTGTTACTGTACTGCACTAGTGTCTTACTTACACGTATAACAAAGTATTGGCACCGCCAGGAGTTAGGTTGGCGATGATCCCTGCAGCTGAGCCAAGGTCAGACAGCCTCTGGGTGAGGGCTGCTGCGTCCCCTCGCACCACCAGCTCGCGCAGCTGAGCGTGCTGCGAGGTCCGCTCCCTTTCCAGAGCATCTGGAACAAGGTTTTTGCTATACATACATATCGTAGGCATGTTGTGTAGTTCGTCATTATCAAACACTGGCTGGTTTGTAAAGTACTGAAGTTAAATTGCAAAATGCTCCTGAACTTAACCTATTTTGCCGAAAAAGTAAGAATGATTTTAAATTAAAAATTTAGTTACTCATCTATCTTATTAAAATTAAGACACGCCGGCGTTACAGTTAACAATAGATTTCTTAGAAATTTAATTAATTTCTTAGAAATTTACCTGGAGGTGATAAAAGCTTATAGAACAAAACACCCGTGTTAAGTGAAAAGTTTTTAGTTTAACATTCGAAAAATAATATTTTCATTTCCAAACTTTTTTTTATTTTCATTTCCTTAAGGAAAAAAAATAAGTTAAAAAAAATATTTTGAGAGGTTTCCTTTATTATCCTTGTTATTTCAAGACAAAAACTATTACTGATATAAAATATAGTCTTAAGTTACTTTTGAATATACATAGCTTTATATATATGTGGAAGAATTAGTATCAATAATTACAAACAAACACACATTTCCTCTTCAATATTCTTATGGTTATTATCATTGAAACATGCTCATCAAATGATTATAATCTTAATCCAATTAATTAAATTTAATGAAGATATCATCGAGAGCGTTCTCACGCTTTCTCACATTTAATTTAGCAAAGTAATATATTGAGAAGAAATGAGCAGGCGTCGGACATAACAGGATTTTTCGCTGTCTAACATCAATTGTAATTCGAATTGCTTACTAATTAATCTATACAAATAAATGGGATTGAAGCGTATGTTTGTAATCTATACTTATCTATTCTAATATTATAAAGAGGAATAGGTTCCGAAACTACTGAACCGATTTAGATGAAATTTGGTAAGAAAATAGTTTGAGATCCTGGGAAGGATATAATATAGTTTTTATCCCGGAAATCATCCCTTAAGGGGGTGAAAATGGGGTAAAATTTTGCATGGGGAAGCAACCTAGGGACGAACCCGAGCGAAGCGAGAGTGAGTCGCTAGTAATATTATAAAGAGGCAGAGTTTGTTTGTAAGTTTGTTTGAACGCGCTAATCTAAGGAACTACTAATCCAATTTTAAAAATTCTTTTTGCATTATATAGCCTGTTTTTTGAGGAAGGCTATAGGCTATATATCATCCCAGAAGTTCCTGTAGGATAGATTTGTTATTTTCTAGGGACGAACCCGAACCGAAGCGAGCGTGAGTCGCTAGTGTCAAAATAACAGCCTTTTACTAAATTTCTAATGTATGTATATACTCTATGTCTAAACTATATCTATACTCATTGTACTGTATTTATAAGCAAAAACTAATTTTTAAAATTTTTGTCTGTCTATTTGTTCTGGCTAATCTTCGAAACGGCTGGACCAATTTTGTCGGGACTTACACTGGCGGATAGCAGATATTATAAGGAGTAACTTGGCTACTTTTATTTTAGAATAAGAATTAGGGTCCCACGCAAAAAATTAAAAACCATGATATTGTAAACAAAATCCATATACCTAGGGACGCACCCAGGCGAAGCGAGAGTAAGTCACTAGTATCTAATATCTATATATAAATACTTTTTCTTTTAGAGGTAGAAATATGACTAACTCTATATGAATTATGTCAAATTCCTATCGCTAGTAAGGAAAACCACCGATAGACATCCTTTACCCTACATTTTACGTCTACTTAAATTAAATTTTGAGTTGTGAAATTTAAAGTCGTAAAGTTCAAAAAAAAAAGCAGAACTTTCCAGTCTTCTGCAACTTGAAAACAAACCCACCTTCTTGCCACGGATCCCGTACATCATCTATGAAGTACTGAGCAGCATCATACGCGTCTTCTGGCTCCTGGTACTTCTTCTCCTTCTTCTTCAATGGCACCTCTTTAGGCTTGGCAGAACGCGAACGACGAAACATTTTGATTTATTACGTTATTAGCTTTGCGAATTATGTTATTGCACCACTGGTGTGAGTTCGTAGCATACATTTTTTTGAACACTATTTTTTTTTAGATAAAATAGTCCTTAAAATCGTCCTTTTGTAATAAATGAAATATATGAACAATATATTAGAGATCATAAATTTTCATTTATGCACTACATATTTGTTTGAAATTAATTGTTTTTATAAAAACATATATATATATATATATAATAAATATTTATATATATATATATATATATATATATATATATATATATATATAAATTTTGTAACTTTTAGTTGTAGCGTGTTCAATAACGAAGCAATCTCGTTTATTTGAAATAATAATAAATCTAAATTGTCATCCTGATATTAAGAGGTAAATTTTTGGGGATTATAAAAAAAGAAATTTCATTAACGCATACCACCTGTAAACATACAGGTGGTTATATGGGACTCATGCTCAGGCAGTCCACAGCAACCATGGGCCTGTTCCCATGGACATGGTCCACTGCTATCAGACAAGTTCCAGGAACAACCATCGCCTGCTAGTGCGTATGGCTTCACGCCCGGCTGGATTGCCGGACGCTAATGAGCACAAGGTGAACACATATATCCAAGGACGAACGTGTAAGATCTAACCAATTAATTTATTATCTAACTAATGCACTTCCGTTATTTTAAACGATGTTATGTAAAACAATTGCCAATTATCTTATCGTAACATTAGAGTCAAGGTGCCGACTACTATACAAGTTCATCTGTTCTGTGCATATTTCCGTTGCCACTGACAAATAATTTCTTATATATATATATATAACTATTTAGTTATTTACATACAAAAAACTAGAAATTGCTTCCCCATACAAACTTTCATACCCATTTTCACCCCCTTAAGGGATGATTTCCGGGACAAAAACTATCGTATATCCTTCCCAGGGTCTCAAACTATCTTCTTTCCAAATTTTATCTAAATCGGTTCAGTAGTTTCCGATTCTATTTGGTACAAACAAACAAAAAATCTTTCCCCTTTATAATATTAATATAGACTATCCAAGTCCAACTGACAACTCGGTCTAGAACTGCGGCAGTACCAAGATATAAATAATACAAAGCATTTAAAAATAGGTGCAACTTTGAATGTGTTATATATAGCAATATTATTTATTTAATTTTAGCTGTTATTAATAAATATTACAATTTATAAAAAACGATCGGCGATCCTGGCTATGGCTATAAATTAACCAATAATGGTTTATTTAAAGCTAGCGGCTGACACGACAAAAAAAATATATACATATAAAAAATCTGGATTTGTTCTATTTCTCTTCTTACATCCCTCTGACTCTACCTACTTTACAGTTTTATTATATATATAGATGTCATATATTCGCGTAAATCTAAGAAAGTATTAGATTAACATTGTTTTGTCCCATAAACAAAAACAAAAGTTTTTTTTTCTAAAAACATAATCGTTAAATATCAAAGCAATATTAACTAAGACATCAAATAAGATCATAGAGTCCGATAGAGTCATTGACGAGAGGACAGCAGACCGCACGGGTGATGGTCGGGTCGCTCAGAGCGCGGCGAGGCTACTGAATTGAAAAACCGCAGTGCGTACGAAGACCTTTGTAGACACTAATGGCATAGTATAAAATTTCATACGGTACGGCCTTTGATTTTAACGAAAATTCCAAATGCAAATTCTCTCAAATTAATGATAAGCGGTTGTGAAACGCTGCAATGCCATCTAGCGGCAAGCTTTAGCAAAAAGGTTGCAAAATTTTTTGATGTTATACCTCTTTTGGCACGTTTGCAAAAAATTTTTTGAAGTTATACTTCTTTTGGCACGTTTGAAAAAAAAATTATGAGAGTAAAATTTTTCCGATACGCGCGCACACCGACAGCTAAAAGGCGACATGATGAAGTTAGCTGACAGCTGTCTCTCCGATTCCCGTGAAGACTCATAACTATATTCGAACTAGTTTCTCAAATATTCATAAATCTATAACACGTGTTTTATATCAGTGGAGATAAAAAATATATTTTTTTTTAATTTATCATTGGGTTTTTGGAAATTCAACCCCTAAAGGGTAAAAAATGGGGTTGGAAGCTTGTATAGAAATTCGTTATTAAAAGACGAGAACAGAACCGCGGACAAATACAAGTAATATAATATGATGGAATGCAAGCTTGCCACTAAGAATTTAGATTTATATTATTTCTTCTTTAATATTCCAGAATTGTTAAATTAGTGACATTTGCTTGCCAAACATTTTGAGCCAAACCAGTTTCAATAAAGGTCTTCGCCACACTACGACCACTATGACATAATTTATAATAAATATTGTGTATGTACATATGTATGTATATTATTTTCAATATATATGTATGTACATGTTAAATAGTCCAGTACCTTTTTCGCCTCTATTTGTCAAGCGATTTTAATTTTTTTGTTTAGTTGCTATTGACAAGCTATAGTGTTATCAATAACAAAAAATTGTTATGGTCGAATTTGAACCTCTTAAGAGTCTAAGCGGACACTATTTATTGATTAATATACATAATAGAATTTTATTTCTAAATAATTACAACGGTCCATGTCATAAACAGTAAAAAAAAATCTAAATCAATCTGTGAAAAAATCTGAAAAGACAATTTTATTTAAAAGTAAAAACATAAGTAATTTATTTTTTTTATACACTTTTATTGGTCAGTTAATAATCTATCCTGTTCGCACACAGGACAGTTTTACATTACCTAAAAGCCTCAGATATAAGTCAAATGCTTGAAATTTTTTTTTTATACAATTTTTGTATGAATAAACCAAATTCTTGTATTTTTATTCTATAATTAGTATTTTTAATTTTTTTTTCTTTTTATTTAAAAGCGAAAAAAAATTCTTTATTCGGGTCAGCTGGTAAAGAATTAATAAAATAAGTATGCTCACGTAACTTGAAGACAAGTAAGATGTGACGCCACCTTTACCTATCTACTGATTTTTATTCAACGAAGCGAGATATTCTAAACTTTAACATGACAAGTGCGAGTTGCATTAAATTCTAATTTCTAATTGTATATCATTAGCATATTAAGTCGTAAATAGCAATTATAGTCAAAATTCGACCATAATCTTTATTGAAAATTCATATTTAACTAGCAGAACCCGCGGCTACGGCCGCGTTCTATCTACAAAAAAACTTTTTGGCTTTATGTTATACATTATATGTATTTATGTAATATTGTTCATACAAAAATACTAAAATGGCGATTAAAAAATGGGGAGTGGGGGAAGGAGGTTTACGACCTATTCTCATACCTACCAAATATACAAAAAAAAATCCTTAAAATCGGTCGAGCCGTTTCGGATGAGTGATAATACTAAACTGTCTTTTGTCTTTATCTATCTATACATAAAAAAACTGTTTCTAAATTGTTTTTATTTATAACACTAAATAATAAAAACACTCGCCAATAGTTTCTAAGCTGAGCTGAACTATATTTTTTTTTGTACTTTTTTTTTGAGCCCTGATTCTTTTTCTAAAATAAAAGTGGCCTATATTACTCCCTATAATATCAGATATATTCCAGTGAAAGTCCCATCAAAATCAGTCCAGCCGTTTCAGAGATTATCGGGACAGACAGACAGACAAAAATTAAAAAGAAAATTGTTTTCCTTATAAGTACCGTATATAATTTCATATGCATTCAGTAAAACGCTGTTATTTTGACATTACAAACAGACACTTCATTTTATTTATCTGTATAGAGTAAAGATAATCGACCTAAACCTACCTCAAATTCCGTGGAAATCTTTTTTTTTCAAGATAGAGTTAGAGAGAGTGAGAAAGAGAATATGCTTTTGGATAAGAGAGGTATAAGAAATTAGGATTTTGGACCACTCTAAAACTTCGATACAAAATGTACACCCTCGCGACAAGTGTGTGGCCATCTCTACATCTATCAAAGAGCTGCTCAAGTGACACTCCACCTTTACAATCGATTTACGTTTAACCGCAACTCTACATTGTTGCAGACTGACCTATATTTTTATTATATTAGCGATGACCTATGTGACCCCAATTGTCATTTTCGAGAATCGAACCTGTGAACTACGCTACTGTATCTTTGCTTGCGCAAATAAACTTAAAATTAATTTATTGTAGAGACATTTTAAATACACGCACCCATTTTTGAAAACACGATATATGAAAGTTAAAACTTCTTAGCCGTCCCATAAGCCAGGCTTGTTTACGTCGGCCAAGGTCACCACCGCCTACGTTCGGAAGTTTTTTAATAACAATATTACGTTGGAAATTTTACTTTTAATCAAATCATCATCTCAGTGCTTAGGTATTTGTCCAAACGACCAATTTACCGGAAGAGTTTTTAATTAAAATTATTAACTTTTAAATGTCAATTCTATTGGCATTACACTATACACATTTAGGTACCTTGAATAAAGACGAAACAAAAATCGGTCAAGTGCGAGTCGAATTCGAGCACGAAGGTTTCCGCACCATCGTAGTTTTTTTTTTTTTAATATGACATTTACTCTATGTATGTAGTATATTAACTTCGATGATCGATTACGAATGTTAAAATTTTTTTCTTGGGTGTTTTTTTATTATTAGTTGTTATTGCGGCAATGATATATAAAAATTATGTTGTCAGTTTTGACTCAGGCGAGTTATTTCGCACTTTAAAATTGTCCCATCTTACAAAAATTCCGTAATATACCTGGATAAAGAGAATACTTTTCTAAGAAAAATATGGGTAGGGCAGTATTAGGGATAATATTTTTTCTTCAAATATAAATATAAAAATACATTTTTTTAATATATGCATTATTGTAAAGTTTCATTAAAATCTGTTCATTCGCGAGGGTGAGCCGCTAGAAAAACAAAAACAAATATATCCCACGGGAACGGTATATTTTTCCGGGATAAATAGTATCTAACCTATGTGTCATTCTGATAATATAAGTATAA